AAGTGTGGCCGACTGCCTACGGCTTTTGCAATCGAGGTCGATCGGATTTCTCGAAGATATTGAAATTATCGAAGCAGCGCAGCCGCGGTAAATTGGGACACCTGTTGCCCGTCCGCGTTCAAAGGTGCGAAATCAGGCTATTCTACACGTCACGCTCCTTTCTTTACATCGTTTTTCGAATCCAAAGAGAAGAAAAAGGATGTTTTGAGAAGATTGGCGAAGAATTTCGATAACGATCCCCGAGTAAAGTTCAATCGGACGTTCCTTATACGCCCGGCGAGCCCGTGCACGCTTTGGCATGCAGCACGAAATCCGAGGTACAGAATCGTCGTCGTCGATATCGCTCTCTGAATCGACAATCAAAAGCTGCGTGTGCAGTTATGCGGCGCGTCGAGCGCCCAACGCTTCGGCCTCCTCCTACCGCGTTCGGGGGCGATAAAGTTTCTGAGGGAAAAACCAGTCATCGCGGAGGAGAAAGCGACGTTCGTCGAGTGTAAAACGGCTGGTCCTATTAATACGCCCGTTATCGAATCCTCTTAAAGAGAGCTCGGCGGTGAAAAGGCAAATAACAGGTTGGTACCGAATGCGAAAATCGTTTCCACCGATGGAAAGTGCACAATAATTACGGAGAAACGGTGTGAAAGGTGATCGGGTCCGCCGGAAAGAATCGGAGGTGCGCGCTTGCCATAGGTAAGCGCACGGGTCAGTCGTTGCGCACGTTCATTGGTATGCGACTTCCTCCTTGTACTCGTTCTTGTTGAGCCACAAAACACGAGGTAGCCGGCTGCGGAGGATCACCCGACTTGACGGAAACGCGAGGACGGCCGCGGCGACCGTCTCGTAGCTCACCACCCACCAACGCAACCGAGGAAGAGGACGTTGAGTAATCCAGGAACACACGAGAAACTTGATAACCGACGTTTATTTCTCTCTCCCGTTCCCGACCAGCGTGGAAATAACTACGATTCCCTGCCACGATAGCTCGCCGATCTCCTTTCCCGTTATTACACAATTAACCGACGATTCCCGTTCCTTCGTCGCGTTCCTCTCCCACAAATTACCGTTGACTGTCTATCGACCGTTTCGTTTTTCAATTTCCCAGCAAAATTTCCGGCAATAACATTGCAATTTTATCAGCAAATATTACGAATCTCGTCCGATTTCGTGCTATCAATTCATCTTGCTTGAACGCATAAAAGTAACTGAATTATACGCGTGATATACATATTGTACACGAGAATACGTCTGCCGTGTTCGAAGAACAGATTTTCTATGCAGCGACCAACTAACGGAGGCTGCAACGCGACACTCGAACCGCGTGTATCCACTTTATCGAGTGAGAGGTGAACCATTTTCTCGACTGGTCTCCCATTATTCCAGAAACGGAGATAGACGAGTTGCGGCGGTCCGGTTACACAATTTTACGAGGTATGTTAGAAGAATCGAGGAGAAAAACGACGTGAGTATCCGTTCCGCGCGCGGTACCGGATTTGCATCTCGAATTAAGTTTCGCGTGCTCGCGGTGGAATGGCAATTAAAAGGAGGAGCCGGAGGAAAAGGGGTAGAAGACGCTTATGACTGGCCGCGATTCTAGAGCGCGTATAAAAGGGAAAACAAGAGCGGTGCACTCCGGTCGGTGTTTATAGCTGAGCCGGCGATGGTACTATAACTGTAGACTACGGAGAGAAACCCGCGATCGCAATGCAGCGCGATGCGAGCGCGGTGGCTGCAGCGACCGGTGCACGCGAATGCGTATACATATATCTCTGCCTCGTCGTTGCGCTCGGGAATGCGGTCTATAGCGCGTAGGATCGAGAGCGGACGAGAGCGAGCCGGAGAAACAAGAAGAAAGGCGACGCGACGCGACGGCCAGACAGAGAGGCGAGGAAAGAGCCGGACGGCCGGCCGAGCGCGAATGCGAAACACACCGTGAAGAGGAAAGAGCGAGAATCGAGGAGGAAGAGAGCGGAGAACGAGAATGGTAGAACGCGAGAGAAGGAGTACGCGCACGGCAGTCGTAAACGGCAACAATTGCTGCGGGCGTTGCCACTCGAAAGCTCGAGTGCCTAATGCCAGATGTCAGACGGTGGTTAGAGTCATTACGGTCATCACTTTGTACCGCGATACACGATGCGTACCGGGGCCGACGATCGTACCGCGGCGACACTCTCCATCTGTGAAAACGCGACGCGACTCGTCGCCAACTCGTTTCTTTTAAATCTCGTTCATAAATTGGAAAAGTTAACGTGTTCACGCGTCGAAAAACAGAGCGATGCATCATGCATTTTCATCTTCGGCGGATAGAGAGTAAAAGCGACGTGGCCGAACAAAAGGGTCCGCGGCTTAATGATCCTCGGTTGCCAGTTAGGACGGATAATGGAAGGCTTGCGCGAGGATGAATCGGAACCCGTGTCCTGCCACGTAGAATAGAGAGACGGATACCCGGCTGATGGATACGAATAGTTTCGCGCACGAACGCGCTCGTACTCTCGTACGTATGCACGCGCGCCTATTCATGCCGTACAAAGTAGTCGAAGGAAAGCAGAAGGTGCCGCGCCGCGCCGGTCTCGTCAGACCGATAGAGGCAGAGGAGAATAGCCCGGAGCTCGATTCATCCTGCTAACCAGACATTTTTCCTTGCCCTGCTGCTTCCCTACACGAATCGTATCACGGTGGTTAATGGTTAAATACGGAATAACAAGCGACGAGGTGTAATCGTGAAGCGTACGATCGGCGGACGAATTTTATGGGAAACACGGGAATTGGCGTCATCGGTGAAACTTTCCAAACTCGTTTTCAAGGTACACGGATATCGTATATGTACATATCTGTTCTCTCTTTCGCTCTCCCCGAACAAAGTGAAGAAACAAAATGAACGGGGTGGAGAGAGAAAGAGGAAAGACAGACGAACCCGAAGAATCAAAGGGGTGGAGCGCACGCTGGCGCGCCAGTACGAAAGGGGATGGAGCGAAAAGGAAGCGGCCGGTTCTCCCGGCTCGGCCTGGGAGAGGCCACAACGAAAAATCCTGTAATTATTATAATTACAGCCGAGCGGGCAACAATTATAAATCATCATTGAACTAGGCAACGAAACGGCAATAAAATATATATCGGTACGGACCGGTCGTTACGTTCGCGTCGCGCACGCACATCCGGTCGGATACTCCGCCACCTTAATTGAAAGATGTACCAGTTTATTCATGTCGATTTCCATCAGAGACCGAGCCAACGTTTCCCTATTGAATGCGGATGACGATTCAGTCCGGGGAAAAAAGAAGGCACGCGTTTCGCTCGGCCAGATGGACGCATACTTGCGGCTCGTGGGAGGGAGCAAGCACGAAGAAGATTTCTCTCATCCGTTCCGCCTGCTCCTCTTTACTTTCCTACCTCGAGAATCCGTGGATCACGTTATGAATGACACGCGATTCGCACAATACCGCGATTTTCCATGGAGGATTTGAAAAATGCATTATTAATTTCATGCAGTAAAATTCTTTAACTCGAATTGCATGTAAAAACGAATGGAAATTTCCATCGCAATATTTTGCAATATTGGCAATGCTTTAAGTTTAAGTACGAATACACAGAATGAAACGAACGGTAGTTTCGTTAAGACGAAACAAGGGACGGGTGTCTGGTAATTTCGACAGGCAAAGAACGCGTAACGATTTCGTTATCGTACGCGAACGAGCGCGTAAGTATGTATAATATTACTTTCGACGATTACGTGGGGCGTAAGACGATCGTCCTTAAAAGGGGACATCAGGTACTCGTTCGCGAGCGTTCGCGTAATCCTCTCGGTCCCGGCTCAAATTTCAAAAACGCGGGACCCGTTCACGCCTCGAACGGTCAGTTTTCTCGAATCCGGCTCGTAGCTCGATCGGAGCGCGAGTTACGCCGGATATGCGCGATAAAGGTGTACCGATCGCGAGAAGCTCGTAAAGCAACCTCGGCGTCGAAAGCGACTCGCTCTCGCTCTAACACCCTTTCGAAGGAGGAGCGCATCCGTTGCGCTGTTAGAAAGAAAACTCACGGGAGCAACAGGTTTCCTACAACCACGTGCGTTGCCAATGCTTATGCGACCATAGCCCCGAGTGGATTGTTTTCGGCTCGAGGCCAGCGAGTTGGATATTCATACGGGCGACGCTTTTTTCATTCAGCTTGTAAGCGCGTAACTCTATAGACGACGTACGACGCATTCGAATGAACCAGCGCGAATTTATTTCGGCTCCGTTCGGACGCGCCGACTGCCTTTCGTGCTTGGGAACGTCGATCGATCGCGTCTCCCGGGAATATTCCCGACGTACACGCTTGTGCTAATTGCTGAAGAAAACCTTTCGAACCGCGGTACCAATTACGAGTTTCCCAGCGCGGCGTAACGAGGATACGTGGCTCGCGGCGCGACCGGTCCCGAACGCCACGCCGCGCTGCCCTTTCGAGCATTTACCAGAAACCTTTAACTTAACACAACGTCACGTCGCTCGTCGGCTTTTACGCAAAACGTATGCTTGTGCAACTATCGTACACGAATCTAACTCGCGAAAGCGACGCGATAACGTAAAACGCTATTAATTCGCGTCGTGTCTATCGCGTGGATCCTCGACTATCCCGAGTCTCGGATCACGGTGATGACGGATCAATTAGGAGGCTTCGTCCGTCGAGTCTCGACGGACGTCAATCTCTCTCCGCGAATACGGGATTTACGATCGGTAAACGAATCGCTAGTGGTATTACGCAAGTACGTGTTCGTATAGTAAGCGAAATAGAAACGGATAAAAGGTACTTGTTTGATGCAGACGAACCATCGTCTGAACTTTTCGGTTGAAAATTGTACACCGATCACGTAACAAATTAGTAGTCATGAGATAATGAAATTATTCAATCGTTTAACAACAAGCAGTAAAGTAATTCCTAACACATTTGATCGAAATGCAATACAGGAAAAAAAACACATTGAGTGTAGCAATAAAATAAATTTGATGACAGATGAATAGTCTTACCTTGAGGAAACAGCGTCCAACGGGTAGATCCTCCGACACGGTCGCGTTGTAGAGCGGCTTCTCGAAGATGGGCTCGTTGTCGTTGAGATCGTGCACCGTCACTCGCACTGTCGCGCTACTGCTAAGGGCCGGGCGGCCCGAGTCCGTTGCGATCACGATTAAAATCGGCGCTGGGTCGGCTTCGCAGTCGACGTGCGTACGCGTGGATATCAGCCCGGACGTTTCGTCGATGGTGAACCACGTGGAGTTCAATAGAGAGTACCTGATAGCGGAATTTGCACCTTCGTCCATATCAGTGGCGGTCACTTTGAGAACCGGCGTGCCCGGTTCGGACGCCTCCAGCAAGTGAGCCTCGTACCTCTCTTGGGCGAATTTCGGAGCGTTGTCGTTGACATCGGTGACGATCAGGCGAAAGGTGCGAATGGCTCTTAACGGCGGAGTGCCCGCGTCGGTCGCCTCCACCGAGAGGTCGTAAACGGGCTTCTCCTCGCGGTCCAACGGCCTCTCGACCACCACCAGATATATTATGTTGTCCCTCGTGGCCAAACCGAAGTGTCCTTCGCCGCCGGTCAACGTGACGGTCGCATTCGAATACTCGGTTCTCGAGTCCGGATCGCTGACCGATATTCTGGCCACGAACTCACCCGGCTGGGCGCTCTCGCTGATCTTCGGCGTCGCGTCGTCCGAGAGGAATATCACCGTTATCGCCGGCTGATTGTCGTTCACGTCGGTTACGCGAACGGAGAGGAACGCGCTCGCCTCGAGAGGCTGTGCGCCTCGGTCTCGCGCCACGATCACCAGCTCGTGGCGCTCCTTCGACTCGAAGTCCAACGCCTTGTTCACGTACACCATCCCGGTCTCTGGATCGATGCGAAACATTTCTTCCCGATCGGATTGTCTCCTATTGATGGAATACTCAATACGGCCGTTGTCACCGGCGTCGCTGTCACTCGCGTTCACCGCGAGCACCGGCGTCCCGACGGTCGCGTTCTCCGGCACGCTCGCGACGTACCTGGTTTGATTGAAGATCGGTGGATTGTCGTTCACATCTTGTACGGTCACGTTCACGTGCAGTCTCGAGCGGAGCGGTGGCGCGCCTCCGTCCAATGCTTCTATCACCAAATGATATTGCGACCGAGCCTCGCGGTCCAGCGATCCAGAGTTTTGCAGATCCAAATAGAGCACACCGTCTCGGCCGCGGTGCTGAGAGAGCCTGAACGCGTCCCCGTGATTCCCGGATACGATGTCGTATCTCTGCGTCGAATATTGGCCGAGATCGGGGTCCTTGGCCGGTGGCAAAGCGCGTTTCGCGTCCCGTGGAGAATTCTCCGGGAATTCGATGTCCACGTGCTCGACGGGGAAGGTCGGCGCGTTATCGTTCTCGTCGAGGACCTTCACGACCACTTGAATGTTCTGCGGCAACGCGACCAAACTGTACGATGGCCTGGTTTCCCGGTCCAACGGCACTTTCGTTCTTATCTCACCCGTCGCGTGATCGACTATCAAGTCCGAGTCGACCGCGGACCCGGACACCGACACGATCAGGTACGGCGGGCTGTCGGCGTCGATGAAACCCACTCTGGTACCCGGCCGAGCGTTCTCCGAAACCTCCAAGTATCTCACGAGCTCGGACCACGTGCCCGGGGCGAGGGTCGCTCCCAGGACGAGGAACAGTAGCAGATGCCGCATCCTGGGGCCTCGACCACTGCCGTCGCCCTCACCGCCTCCTCCTCCTCCTCCCTCCCGCCGTCTCTCGTTATTATCTCAATCTTTCCATTCCTGTAGGGTCGATCGTTAAAGGACGCGACGCCGGACGATGCCTCCGAAAGTTCCTCATACGGCCGAGCGCGAAACGCTCTCCGTCTCTCCGTTCTCGGTTCTTCCTCTCTTCTATCCCTTCCCGAATCGCGCGCGTTAGGAAACCGAGTACGAGTACGCGATTAACCGGCACATTAATCACCCACTAGCAGCACCAGCACCAACAAGCACAATCACGTTTTACTCCGCTCGGTCGTTCGTCCCTTGCGTACAACGCGACGCGCCACGCCCGACTGTACCGAATTCACGAATATTACTCGCGACCTTGTTATGTTCGCGCTTGATTACGCAGTAACCTTCGCGGTTGTTGTTATTTCGTTCGTCATTCGGACTTTGCCCCCGACCCTTCCCGAGTCTTTACTCTCCTCCGTTCCTCCTTCGTCACCGTTCGCGACCTCTTCCTCCCCTTGTTTTCTCCTACGTTTCTTCCTCCTTTCGTTCTAGCACCGCGTACGTGCTCCGTCGTTTTCTCTATCGTTCTCCTTCTCCCTCGCGCGCCCACCACGTTCCTCGTCTCCTCTCTACCTCTTTCTAGCCGCGGTATCCGCGCTGTCCTCACCGTGGCAAGAATATCTTCGCCTCGAGATATCGTACATTCCTCGCGTTAGATCCACGTCCGATAACTAGACGATCAACACGACCGGTCGCGAACCCGGCGCGATCGTCTCACGTCTGGAACGCCCTTCATCTCGCGCAGCTTCCGTCGGGTCCGTTCCGAAAAAAAAAAAGTTCCACCCCTCTGTCGATCCTTACGTTTTCATCCACCGCGAAGCTTCCTTCCTCATTTTTTCTCCGATCGTTCACCCGATCTCAAGGACGGTCTCGTTTTCGAAGAACGGCCGCGTCGTATACCGCGATCGTGTGGTTCTTACTCCCGAAACTGTCACCGGAACACTGGTTCACGCGAAAACGTCGCGAGTAAAAAGTCGATTACGATAACGCTGGTTGCCCGTGTTCGTCGACGAACATGAAAAACGCCCGATACGACTTTACCCCGACCGTTGCGTATCGTACGACGTTTACTCCGATTCACTCTGTCGTACTCTCCTTTCGCTCCGATACACCCCTCTCGCGAGATTCGCTCCTATGTATACCTATGTTACACGTATCGATCCGAGTGCGAATGGATCGATCGAGCGAAACGTAGCGACCCGCGGTTACTTTTCTCTATGGTCCCCGACGTGTACAACGCACGGGGAGCTTAGCCCGAAGAGAGAGAGAGCAGCGGCGAGAAGCAAACGCAGCACGAGGTGTCGCGTTCTTGGGCCCAGCGTCCGTTCCGCGCGGTTTCGAGGTTAGGCATGCACTGACATGGCGGCACCTGCAAGGTTTACCCTTCCCCTGACTCGGGCCTCTCGGGCCCACGGCTGGCTCGGTCAGGGGGACCCGGCTGGTCCCGAACGGCGGCCATCTTGGAGAGGGGAGCGGTAGTACAGCGGGGTCCGATGTACCGGGACCGGGGCCTCAGCATTCAGCGCGCTTCGCGGCACCGAGCAGCTAGACTATACCAAACTCCTCTTGCTCGCATGCCCGCTCGGTCCCTGCCTCTCTCGTTCTCTTCTGCTTTCTCCGTCTTCGTTCCTTCTCCTCGGTCCCGGGCCCCTCTCGTCCTCCCCCTCGATGGGCCTGCTTCCTCTTCTCTCTCTCGCACGTCACGGATCTCTCGTTTCTCTCCTCGTTCAGCTCGATCGCCGCCTTCTATCCTACCTGAACGCCCGGTATGCGAACGACTGACTTACCATCGACGCTCATTCTGCAATCGGCCCTACGAGCCTCTTCTACGCCCGTGCCAAAGGTCCTGGAATTTCGTGACGAGTCGAGAGAGATTCCGAATAGTTTGCATGCTGAGTACGAATTTTCGTTTCTTGCGCCCCCCCGGAACTCGTGCAGAGAACCAGCCCCGATGAGCAGCCCCGGTCCGGCAAAACGCTTCATCCTCTCCCCGAAATGCAAATTTGCACGCTGAAATCAACGCGCCCCGACCCGAACACCGATTGCGTCACTAGAATTTCGACTCCGCGTAAAGGTCACGGAATTTGCATCCTAACAGGAAGAAATTAATTTTGACGATCTGTTAACACGTCCCTTGGGAGGGCACGAGATCGATGTTGGTTGCATGATGCATGGGGATACCAACGCGACGCGTGACGATCTTCGCTAACCAAATTAATTGCATACTTTCGTAATGTAGCTACATACACGATATTAAGTTGTTGTATATGAAACGCTGATAATGCTAATCAAGAGAATCATCTATTATGTTTTGTCTTTTTTTACCCTTCTTCTTTACGGTCCTTCAGTCTCCCCGTGGATGTCCAGCTCCAGCTTCCTCTCGACTCCCGCAGTTCCTCCTCGATGCCTCCTCGTCCCTTCGGCTGCTCGGATATTCATAATTTTATTTAAACGTGCACTTTTGCAATCAAGTATTTAAGAACTCTACAGAAACCATTCTGACGTCAATTTCATATACAACAACTCAATATTTTGCAATTCCATCATAGATCGTTCAGTGATCTGTTCGCGGCCAGCCGCGCAGCCGGAACGTCATGCAGTTAATTCGCGCGTTAATAATTCCGTACATCAACAGTGACTCACGGCGAGAACTCGAAAGGTTGACCACCCCTCCCAAAAAAACGAACGAATTAAGAAATTCCTTGAACCGGCACGCGCTGGAATTTCATATACGACAGGAATTCAGAATATCGCGCGGCCGTTTGCTCCGATATCTCGCGCGTGGCGGATCGAGAAAATGCTCGCGCGGATCTACGTTGCTTAGCTCGAAGTTACCGGAAACGTGGCTACCTGTTCTCATCCGGCGCGGCAAGAAACTCGAGCGAGGTTGGTAGTGATCGACGGAAACGTCGACGCTTCCGCGTGAAATCGAACTCCGGCGGGATAGAAGAAGATCCATCGGTTCCGTCGCGTCGCGATACATCTCGGGGGTCGAGGACCCTTGGCTCCTCTACCTGACTCTACGAGTAGGCAGATAAATCCGCCGCCTACTCCTACTCGCTACGGACAATGCGCTCAAGACGGTGCATCATCGTCCGTATTGTTTGCTCAGCCATCGGGCACCACGGCCCGATCTTACCCGCAGGTGCTAGAAGCAGGGACGATGTCCGACGCGACGCGTAAACGCGATCAATGACGACGACGGCGACGACGAAGGGAAGAGCGTCGGACGAATTCCGATTCGTGCACGGAATATTAGAGCGGAATAAATTTGCGTCTCCCCGCTTTTGTTCCCCGAATCGCATACGTTTTCTCGGCTTAAGCCGGAGTCGGCTTGCATACCTCGCATCGATCCGAACTCGGCCGAAACCAAGATATCGACGACAGACCGTGCTTCTTCTTCTTTTCCTTTCGCATCTTTGTTATCGTCCCCTTCTTCTTCTCCTTCTTTATAGTCAACATTCTTTTTTCAACGCTCTTCTTATTTCCACCGTGATTGTCCTCCTCCTAATTCTCCTCGACTCTTGCGATTCCTCCTTCTTCCGTCGGCCCCGCCGTTGCGTTGTATCGATACTTTTTCTTCTGCCGTTGCGAAGGGAGAAGAAGAAGAAGCATTTGCAACAGAAATGCCATTGTCACCGCGCAGACGTCTTCCCATTAAAGAACGTCGGGTATTTCTACGAAATCTTTCCAGCGTACACCAATTTCAGCGCGGGATGGTGGCACGGCCGCTATGGGAAAATTACAGAGTTCGGAAATAAAGGGAGGAGAGGATAGGGAAGAAACGGAAAGAACCGAAAGTGGTCTGCGGATACGAGGAAAGAGCGCGGCAGCAGCAGCGAGATAATCCGAGGCCGAGGAGGATCGACAAAGCTCTCGTCATTAAGCGAAATGATTGCCGGTCGCGGGGACCACCTACACCCGGACTCGGTCCCAAGGACGGAGTCGTCGAAAGACGAGAGACCGCGAACTTTTCTCAAGGAACACGAAAATTTGTACGCTGCGGCCGGCTTCCGGCACGCTCTATCATCCCAGTTTTTTTTCTTCGTCGTCGCCTGCGCCGCGAGCCGACGCGAAGACGGTACAATGGAAAAAGGATTGCTCCTGTTGACCGAAAAAAATCGACTCGGTGGGAAGGGACGGAGCAAAAGAAGACGCGGACAAAGAAGTAACTACGTTTCGCTGGTGAACGGAGCGAACGAAGGCGCGCAGCAACGATGGTACCAGCCGGACCGAGCGCGATCGAGTTACCAGTTTCGAATGTCCGCGCAGTAGTCGTGAGCGGCTCTAGAATTTCGCGCTCGGATTTCGTAAAAAACGTGATTTCGAGACGCGGAGCAGCGAATTCGATAGACAATTTAGTTACGTCGGCCGTTTCTCCGTTTCCGTTCTTCTCCATTGATCCGGCCGCCAGCCGCTTTCGTTGCCACCTCGGCGAGCACCTTCGGACGGTCCTCCGGACGCTTCTTCTTCCAGTTAACTGTAGCGAACCGTACTAATGTCGAATAATAGACTGTAAAAAAAGAAACGAGGTGGACGGGGCAGAGGGGAAGAAAGGTATAAGAGATTTCGTCGAGGCGTAGTAGAGGGGCACTGAAAATTGGTAACTGGTGGGGGTGATGGAGACCAGCCGCATAATGACAGGGTGCCTCGCGCCAAGGCCTCGCTAACGAACCGGCCCACGGGACCCGAAAGGGTCCGGGCTAGGAGACGACACTGTATTATTTTACCATTTCGGGGGTCGGGGGCATCATCTGAAATCATCGCCGAATCCATATAATCAGTAGACGGTTACGTGCAGCCATGATTTTAAAAGTAGTAAGAAGGGGAGGGGTGAAAAAGGACGATGAGAGAGAGGATGAGGCCTAATAAGGCGAACGGTGGTAGGTACTCGGGTCGTATCTCCTCGTCCTCGTCCTCGGCGGCAGCAGCAGCATCCTCGTCATCGTCGTCGCCGTCGCCTGTCCCTCGGTGATCTCCTCCGACTTCTCCGAGTCCTTGATACCAACTTATAGTACTCGTTGCGGCCACTAATGACACGGACCCGATAAAAAGTAAACCTTTCCTCTCTACCATCCTTCCTTTATTCCTCCCCCCTTCCGCTATCTTAACGCGTTGCACGAAAGGCAAGGCTTTAAAACGTTCCAATGAGCTCGCAAATGCTCTGTGGAACGATTCTGGAGCGTGATCAGAGGCGAACGCACGAAATTACCACCGCGAAAAAATACGCTCATGCACTTAGCCGCGAGTACGCGGAAACCGGCCGCCAGAAGAACCATACCTTCTGGCCGAAGTCAAACAAATATACTTACCTCGGACAGCTTTGTTTCGCTAATATACCATTAACACTATTCACGTAGTTGCGCGTTTTTTAAAACAAATATTCTCACTCACGTACATGGAAAACTGTTGGTAAATCGTTAAACCGAGGCAATAAAGAGCAATATTCGAGTACACCGTGAAAGTTGATCGATAAAGATCTAAACGAAAGTTGCTGGTGCATATACGTACATAAAATACTTGTTGCACGTACTGCACGCACTTTGCGTAGGAACGACCGGTTCGATACAAATCGAGAAAAACATCGTTCCATCGATCGATAACTTGGATCTTTATAAAAATTGATCAAACAAAACTTACAAGTGCGCATTCCCTTGACCCGTTTCGCAAGGCCGGGGAAAACGGTGGACGGGATCGTTAAATTTATTCAGAGCGCGTCTCAACCCCGAATACGCGTATGCCCCGAGTCCGGGTTCGAGGTAACAAATCATCAAAAAATCCCGTGGGAGTGTGGAAAAGAGAAGGGGGATATCTGATACGTAACCCGTATCGACAACGCGACACACGTTATCTCGATAATTAGGGGCTTTCTCTGGACCGAAATATCGGTGTTCGAACTTTTCGAACTGGTCCGTGAATTCCACGGACCGTGTCAGCGGATCGACCGTGAGATAACATATTGACAGACTGACCAAACTCTTTTTCCTAATCTATCTCCCGATACACGAGGACAACCGAGAAACCGTCTCTTCATCACGTATTCTCGATTGTTAATCGTTCAAATTAATTCGCGAAATCTACGAACAATTGACTAAACATTGTTCGTCAGCCTGTTTGTTATCCCTGTCGACACAGCGTAATCATCGATTCATACATACATCATTATAACATAACATAATCATTGCAGAGCTTTACCCATGTACATTTTTACCACAATAAATTCAAAAAACAAGAATAAATTCTTTTGAAAAATACCTTCATAATCCCATTTCATCCAGTTTATTGGTAAATCCGGACGAAATGTGCAAGGTGTGAACATGAATGGAAGAGGAATCGGGACCTGGTGAATCGTGCTTCAAAGGGGGACGAGGCGCCATCTCCGGACGAACAGCTGCGAAGGAACGTGGATTCTTGAGGTAAGTATACTGGAAGACGATCTTTTAAACGGCTCTGGACACTACACTTTACACAACAAAGGACGAGGCAACGAACAAGGAGGACAAGGAAGGAATGACTCGCGAATTCAACATGGCTGCCCGGCGTACGCGGGAAAAGTCTCGCGCATGCACCGTAGGTTTCGACGTTAACACATGCGCAGAGACTTGCCTTGCTCGAATTCGAACTTCAGTTTTTGATAACTTTAAAATTACATTTCGCAATCAAGAGTAAGTATCCAGGTCTGTCTGTAAGATCGTACATGGGACAATGTATGTAATACAATATTTTAATATAAAATCTTTTACAAATATTATATAATTGAATATAATAGAACTGAGAATTATATGAACCTAATGATCACGGCTTTAATGGGATGATCGGCCAATACTGTGGTTTCGCTTTGTCTTTGTGTCTATCGATCGTGGTTTGGAGGGCAGTTTCCATCGCTAATATCGTAGAACTAGCTTCACCGTACAATAATTTGGCATTAGCATTCCTCATTTTTACCCAATTAGCACCTCCTTGAATATTCGTGTCATCTCCCTCGTCTCCCTTTGTACAAGACTCAGATTCCCTTCTCTTTTGCAATTCGATTTTATGTCTCATACTCTGCTCCAAGAAACTCATCATGTCTTCGTTCACTTGAAACTCCAAATTCTCAGCTTCCTCGCTAGTTGCCTCTTCCTGCTTTTGTTCCCTATTCCAATTTTTGTATCTCCTGCTTTTCTGTATGTTCGAAGAGGATTGTTGTCCACCGTGACATACCACAGATCTCAATTTATCTCTTAATATCTGATTTTCATGCTCCAACGCGATGCAACGGGTCTTCCACCAAATTACGCTGTGCCTGAATTATTATTACACATCAAAATAAATATTCTCGCAAAGACACTTGTTTCGCGTCATGCTGTATGGTTAAATGATACATGAACTGACCTTTTTTGCCATTCCTGGGCAGCTGTATAATTTTCCCAGAAAGAATTAGCATGCATGGTACCGCCTGTTAATTTTTCTCGTTCTGAAATAAATCGTTGACGTTTCGCAAACTTAACCTCAAGCTTCGATTGCTCGCGACGTCGTTTCTTCAAATGTGCTCTCTTTCTCCGATTCTTTCCACGCTTCACAGAAACAAATTCCATATCTTGGAACAGTCTCCGTTCAACGGAGAATCAAATTAAAACTATTGAAGTAGCATTATTTATTTCTTTGGTCCATACAGAAAAACGGCGTGCATACACAACCAACAGATTACGAATTACGACTGCTAGTGACGAAACGCCACCCGCCGAACATGTAAATGTATAGAACGATCCTTGAATCTGTTTTTGTAAGACGACAATGTTGAAACGCTGAAGTTTAAAACAAATGCGTTTTATTAGAAATATACAGTACCGTCGTGTTTTATACAGACTTGTAAAAGATATTGGAACTTAAATGTAAACTAACCGAGCTGGTCGAAACACATGATAAACCCTCTGTTTCTGCACATTGTAAAGCCATGAAAATAAAAAATAAGTACTCGTGCACCACTACCCTTTATTTACTAAGCGTGCACGCGATCAATAATCTCTTCATAATTATATTGGATTTTATAAATATCTCAAAATTCAACACTACTAACAATAATCTTCGCTGTAACTTTACAAATTCGAGGTAATACTCAGCATTTACACGGCATATTTTCAGAATTCGACGTAACACATATTTAATCAGAGTATCGCATGTTGATCGAAGCAACCCGCTTAATATAGGGGGAATCACTTGTACAGATAGTCCATTTGTTTCAACAAATACACATGTACGCGTCCCAAATAACGGGACTGTAAATTGTCCCTCGAGAAAATGATAAACCTCAGTGATGCGCGACACGTTCTTCAGATTATAATGAACGAACGGTCCTGGCCTCACATGTACGATAAGTCCAATCCACGTTCGAATGACACTTCGTTGTCCCCGAACTTAATGTTGCCACTTTCTATGCTACTTCTCCTCGAGCAGCTGTCAGTCGCGTCAGCCTCGGCATTGTAACCAGAGGCCTCGCCGTTCTCCACGTCACTGGCTGGCGACGTTCTATTCAAGGGCTCGAGCCCAATTATTGCGCGTACGTTATCAGGTAACTTATCCGCGACAGACATTAATTGATGATATATACCCTCTGCCTTCGATAATGTCCAAGGCAACTCGATATGATGCGACAGGTCATTTATATGCTGCAATATGTGTTATGTTAATCCAGAATAAAACTACGTACTAAAATACGTTAATTTCGATACCTTCAATATTTCTGTAAGGCCGTAACGATTCTCCATAAGCATGGTTCTTTCTGTGTCTAAAATAGCTGCGCATAAAAGCAAATGGAAATTTTTACACGGCAAGTCGGTCCACAATACTTCCCATAGTTTCATTATGTCGATCGCGTTGAATTCCCTTTTAAATAATACTAGAAGCCAGCGGAAGCAGAAAAACATATTCCCTGAATCGTGTCTATTTAAATAATGCGCTAATTGCGGATCCGTGGTATTCAATAGAGTATATAATTGGCACAACTGGGCTTTCATTCCGGCTTGATCTATCTCGAAATTGGTACTCTGTTTCAAATATTGATAATCCAAAATTAATTTTAATTCTCGATAAACTATTCCATCTAACAGTTTATAACGTACCACTTTGTCCATGAAACCGACAAAACACCAAAACGCGTCTACCTCGTTTTCCATCAACGACAAAATCGGACTTAGAAGATCGCTCATGCCTTGAACGTACCCCAAATCGAAATTGTACATTACGTAGGTCATGAGGATGTCATACAATTGTGCTAAGTGCGGATTATTATCACCCGTGTAATACGGATGCGTTCTATCTGTTCTATTCACATCTTTTTCTAAAATCGAACGTTCATTAAAATTGTACGCTCTTAAAACAAGTTCACCTAGACATCGCAACGTTACCGATTAAACTCTTTCGATCCCGGTAATCGGAGAAATTATTCTCTTGCATTGGAGTCATGGATCTCCATTGTAATTTCATCATAAAGTATTCATCAGTCTTCTTCTTTTTCAGTTCTAATCTTTCGATATGAGTGGAATTCCATGGATAGTAATTTAATAAAAATTTCCAAACATCGAAACGTAACGATGGTACGATACCCTAAAGTTCCAAATGATATTTACTTTAGAGTCTCCTACCACGATACATTCGACATATCATTTATACGTACCCCACGAAATATAATTTCTTTCACTTGTTGAGGATTTAAAATTCTCCCCTCTGAGTCCTTGAATTTGCTCCACTGTTCTTGCGACAATGGTGAATCTAATACGATACAGTCACATATATTTCTGCATTCGTAATATCGTAATAATACTTTCATACCTCTTTGACAAGGTGGTCTCGGAGGTAGTACCAGACCCAATTCGTGTTCACCGATCAGTTCGTACTCTTCTCCAGAACATACGGATACTGGAGGAGGGGAAACATCGATCGAGAAAGAATTGTTGAATATATCCGCGACTGCCTCTTCCACAGGGCGCTTAACTGGGTCTTTATACACTGCAATATTATTAAAAATTAAGCCGTTGCAAAAACTTTATTCCTGTCAGAGAAGTTCCCTATATACACTCACACCAAATATCAGCCAATTTACTAAACGCTTCCAGCGTTGTTTCATATGGACGGTTGTGTAAATTCTTAACAAATTTCCAAACATAATCTGACGTATTCTCTTGAAACAAGTCTAATTCGGCGAACGACTTAGTCAAGACCGATTGAACCTCGTCCACTACGATGTACAAATTTCTATTTGTACGAGATTTTACAAACTTGATGAACCCTTTCAAGGAATTTACAAAACTCTCGGCGTTGGAAAGCTGAAAGAAGGCGACGTAGGATGTGCCGTCCTTCTGCATAAATATTAACTGTTGCCCCCCGTGATTGATGCGAAACGAGTTCAAATCTGAGAATAATATTCTAACGATCCTGGTACGCCCAAGAGAGTCCGGCCCTTCCGACGATGTACGAGTACGCCTGGTGTGAGTGTCTACCAAAGACCATTCCGAATCTTGATCTGGATTTTCCGACACCACGGAATCCTCTATTGGCTTCCATTCTATACATTTCCCAAAACTCTGGAATTTCACAGGAACGTGTAGGAATAATTCTATCGAAACGATGGGTTGCATCGTTCAATCATAAAGTGCCAGACTAAAGCATTCGCTTATAAATGTTACGTTAAAAACAAATGCTAGTGCAACGACTCAAGAACCGTTACAATCCTTGAAACCTGTATTAGTGCGTGCCCGGACTTCTGCTACGAGCGAATGCTTCAGTCATGCTGTGTCGACTCTTAGACTCTGCTTACATATTCAACAATATTTAATGTGCCAAGACTGTGAACTTCATCCTCCCTTGTACTCGCGCCTCGAAGTACTACTCCCGTATGAATACACAAATCCTGATTGAAATTAAGCATTAGCAGAGAAACGTAATCCTACAGTGTGACAGTGATTCCATAACCTCGCACGCTGGATGATTATCAAATAAAACATACGATTATTAGACAGGGCGGCGAGAACACGCGATATAACTGGAGACAGGAGCGAATAAGTGTTTTGTAATTTATTGTTCAAAGCTTGTTTCGATCTTATTAACATTATCATGGTGTTACATGTGACAAGCGTAGTTTACATCATTCGCAAAATTGACAGTAAACGACAATCGATTTGTGTTTTACGGTATAAAATATTCCGATGGAATCACTGATCACGAGCCCCGATACCTGCTTCTTACCTTCCCCTGTTCTGTAGGCTCAAACATTTTCAATAACTGTTTCTGTGTACTTTCAGCGCAGCCTTAATGAGTCACGGCCGATTCCGTCGCATTTCTTCTCTGCAAGTTTATCTTCGCTCTTTCTTCTACTGTTTTATTGTCTCCGCTTGATCGTGTAATCATATATCTCGGCAAGTAGCTGTAACTCTGCCTAGAGAGATACGCGTCTCTCTCCGACGTTATTTTGATCGCAATAGACGAGTGTGCTGCTGCTCCGCTGTTGGCTTGGATGTATTCGCAATGGCCAAAAGTCGTCTGGCATTTCGCAATAAGTTCGAACAACCCGTCGGACCGTAAGCTATACGTACGGCCCCAATCTCTGCGTGAAAAACGCTTAAAAACTCTCGGTGAACATACGTACATACACTTACTACGTATGAGTAATCGTTTAACCGCGACCTCTGTCACGAGGAGAGTTCTTCCTTCTCTCTCACGTTTGCTCATTCATTTCAACCCATAGGTATCTAGTAAAATATCCCCTGTAAGCGTCAGCCATAATCTAGTAAGAGCAACATTGGCGTACCAGCAAATGATTCGGACCGCTCTTTGTGTCTTATCTATGATACAACGACGTATAACAAAAGAGTCTATCACCTATTTTGAAAATTAAATCCGAATATCGAATCAATCAAATAGATAGAATAGATATCAACTATCACATAATCGATTTTAATTCTCGCGATCAGATTATTTATATGATAAGTTTGGCAGAGGAATGTCATGCCCAATGATTAGTTTTCGATTACCTTGAAGATACCTGCAGAAATTGCTATCCTTAATACACTATCTGTATGAGTAGGAACAGAAAGAGTGATCGAACGTATGAGGATTAAAGTATCGATATAACTCATTATCTTTAGCTGGGAGCGAGCAGCACTCGACCAACGGCAATAATGTACAATCTACCGGAGATAATTTTATAATACTCTGTATAAAACAATATATGTGTATGAATAAATAATGTGAATTACGTATTCCTACTTCATTAAAGTCATTAGCGTCGCTGCACGCAAATACAATTTCATATGTTATTACCGTCTGTTGAGGATAACAACTTTTTTCAGTGTTCGTCAGAACACGAAGTATGCATCTTCATGATTTGCACCTGTGCCGTTTGTCGTAGACGAGAAACATTGACAAGATTAGCTGTGCAATCGGATGCATCCAGATTGATAAGATTAACGATGTAACACTTGAAATAATTTTTATTCAATGTAAAGTAAATAGTACGTAGCGTATGACGGAATCTGAGTGAAATCGGTTTAGGCAGAAGTCCGATAATCGATTTCTTTGTTCTAACATCTTGCTCTAATTTCTATCGTTCAAGGAGATGTACGAGTTTCGCGTACGCGATCACGTTGTGTCATCGAACGATAATTATTCTTCTATGCAAATATTGTTTGTAAAAGAGAAACTCATTTCTGTTTTTCATAACATTTTCTTTGATGTCATTCGCATCACTTTCAACAAATATTGAAATACAACTGGCATTACTTTCCTTTTTTACATTATTTTTTCTTTATTTCGTAATATGCTGCTTGTTGAATTTCGCATCATTCGTAATTTGGTTTTTATGAGCGTTTTTCCTAAACCTTAGTAAATTCGTCAAAGTGGCTCGGTGTTCCTCGCATAGAAACGAGATTTTCGCTCGGCACTAAAAGGGTTAAATCGAGTGCAGCTGCACCGAGCGTGCACCGAGTAATCGCAGCGACACGGAATAATAATAACCGATAGATCATGATACATCGCCAAGAGGGAATTTTAATCGAATTGATTATGAAAATCCGATGATTTCTGCTTAGGAAACGCCGTCACTGACGAATAGATAAGTAAAATGTACGCTAAATCCGCGATTTGCGCGATTCAGAAATCGAGAATTTCGCTCGGATTGTGTACCGAAGATCGTTGAATCGCGTGACTCAGGACATTGCGAAAAGAGGAGAAAAAAGAACGAGCGGATAACTCGCAGCTGTAAAAGAACGCTACGCAGGCGTGCAATTATATGGCAGTAATCGAAAATATGGAATGCGAGGAGGCTCGAGGCTTTCTACCTCGGGTATCCATAAAGTTTATGTTCCGGGAATCGGAGATGAACGCGCTGAAAGTAGTGGCTCGCCGTAAACTGAATAGCTGAAGCACGAGAAAAAAATTTGCCTGGTACGGCAATACTTTTCCGTTTTTCAAAATGGTACAAAAGTTACTAAAGATTGCGATACACAGATACTTGTACCATCTGTTAATTGATATCGTGATAGGAAACACCTGTTTCTGTGACTCATTAAAAGACGCAGATTTTTTGAAACTTATGAAGAAGATTATGGTTGGAAATAATAGACAAGCTGGCAATGAAATTGAAAATGAAAGTGCTATCTCGTGCTATTCTCATCGTCGTATCTGGTACACGCGTGTTCCTGAGTCTTCTCTCAAAATAGATTAGGCACTAAAGTCAGTCTGACCGATTACGCAAAAATTGGCATAAGAACGCATCTCGTGTATTCAATTATTTCCTTGTACACCCGAAACCGGTCGGACCGACGCGCGGTTTCGACTTCGCGATTAAGTATTTTATCTATAGATAATTCGCGGATTCGCACGGTGACGGGTGCATCGAGGGGATTGACACGTGAGTGCAATATTTATCGCATCAGCATACACGCCGGGTTTGGTGCACATGCACCGCGCGGTTTCCTATTTAGTAAGACGGAAACGTGACGCAAAGAAAGGATGCACTCGATACGAACTTCGACCGGAACAGTTTTAAACAAACGATAAGAATGGTAGAAATAGTAGGACAACAACTCATTCTTTGGAATTCGTTATTGCGTGCTGCAGCTGGAATGATCTTCGTATCGAATAATTCGTAAAAATAATGAAATAATATGACTCTTTCATAGTCGCATGCGCGCACTGTAAATAAAATGAACTTTAGACGTTCGCATTGTCGTTTATGCATTCCCGGTCGATTCCTAATTCTAAGTCAGACCCAGCTGCGTTAAACAGGTTGGACGAGCTGCCGATACGTAAAAAATCATGCGTGCCTCACGCGTTCTCGCTGTAACGCTTCTACTGCTCCGAAAATAGAAAATCCCAAACTAGCGATCAGAAGTCGCGGAAAGCTTGAATTCCAGTCAAAGTTCGACTGAGGCATCTGAAGCTTGATTGCACAGATACATAGGTAAGTGTACCAAAGTAGAAAGCAAAGCGGAACGGGGTTCAGCAATGTTAGAGAAAACAAAGAGACGCGGTAGCATTCTATTCGGTCCGCGGTCAGAGAAAATACGCAGTTTCCCGTACCTTTCGAGTCGCGGGCAAAAAACTGTTGCGATCTATGCAGCGGCAAGAGATGGACGAGGAGCTCCGTCGAGAAGAGCGTCTCGCGAATGCATCGGAACGTGATTTAAAGTAGAATCGGTAGTCGCGATACACCGGCGATAGCGCCTGAAAGTACTTGACGTGCACCTGGAATCGCAGGGACACCCGTACGTGCGTCAGAACTGATACCAAACTTCGATCTTCATTGAGAAGTGCGACGGTCATTGTTCAATATTGTCCATCGCCCAACGATCCGTCTCTCTCTTCGTGGGTGCACGTGCACCCGGTCACGGAGTTCGTCTGTACCTAACATTATACAGGTGCCACAGTATCGACCCGCAGCATGTGGTACTGGTAACGTAACTCATTCTCCTTTCTCCTTTGCCCATTTCTTTCTTGCTCCCACTCGAAACGTCGCGCCTTGTTCACCCGTTCCCCGTCTCCGTCCTTTCAACGTGATTTCGTCCTTTCTCGTTTCCACGACTTCTCCCTTCTATTTCGAAAGACAGACAGGGACTAGGACTATATTCGAGGCACCGGTCGCAGGAATCTCGACCTAACGACGAGCCAGCTCATTGTCGTGCATGCGCGAAGAAATGCAGGTACGTGCCACATCACCCACATACCCTAGAACTATCTGAACTAGCCGCCTGAAACGGTCCTGAACGCACGCACCGAGCGTCCGTTCAAACGTTCTTCGCGCGCATCTCTTTAACTCTCGACGGAAGAAGATAATTCCCGGCCTTCTAACTTCATGTCGCGTATCATGCAGGCAAATTGCAAGATAGCCGCGATCGCATCGACTCCTATCATTAGATCCTTGGAATAGCGTCTGCGAAACTTCGTACTCAGTAATTTTACTCGGGAACTCGACGTACCGTTACATAATTAATAATTCGTGGAGGCTAAAGTGCGATCTCTGAAATCAGAACGTAGCAGATAACATCGAAAGCCATCGATCAACAGACAAATCTCCTAAGCCCTATCTTTATTATCGTCAACATACTGCCGGCGCTATTTTTGATTCGTGGCGGGTAAAATAGAAACAGTTGTTCCGCGAGTTTTCATTGTTCTCCGGAATGACCGATGGCAGAAGAAAAATGTCTTGAGTCATCGTTTAATAAAAGGGTAACGCGCTCAGCGTTCGACTCGCCGTCGAGTATTCGAAGAGGAAGAGGAGGAAAAGTGAGTGGGAGAGGGCCCCGATGGTCACAGTCGTCCCTGGCTCCGACTCTGCCAGTTCAGTTCATTTGGTTGGCAAAGGCGAACCGTGGTGCATAGTCCGACAGCTGATCCAGGACTGTGCGTTGCATCGGCCGATAGTTTAGCTCGGCTGTCAGTGTCAGTCGCAAGTGACACCGCGGATCGGTCGACTACGATACGTTCGCTCTCCTATACGTTTACACGGAACGAGAGCCGTGCGTTTCTGTGCCGAGAGCGATATCCTGCGGAGCAGCCTCATCGGAAACGAATGTGGCCTCGAGATTCGAAAAGCCTTTCATCGATCGTCGGGAAAACGAAGGCGAGGATCAAAAGCGCATCGTAACGGGTCTACCGATCTGCCAGCGCGATTATTGTAAGCGCGATTTCTCCGTGAAACGCACACACACACACACACACACACACACGATTACTGTGCGTGCGGGTGAGAGACACGAAGGAACGTCCGAGAGACATAGGATGCACAACGTCATCGTTAGGGCATGATTTCGGACGCTGTTAGGACACCCACAACTATCTTCGACCAATGGTGAGTCAGTTTGTCAGCGTTCCAGCGCTGGCTGCGTTTAGTAGATCCTCGGCTTAGTCGCCGCTCGCGCAGCCCTTACGCTCTACCTCGAGGATTAACCACCCTCCTTTGTCTGTCACGACTGCCTAGACCCCGTTTCTCTCCGTTCACCTGGATAGCGTTCTATTCCGATCGAAAAGCAAATCCGTTGTTTGCATACCGGATAAAAATATTACAGAATCCTTTATTCAAAACGATTCCAAACTTTGTTAACATGTGCATAGTCACGAACTGGTTTGTTTGAATTACACGCTGACCCAGTTATTACCACGGCCTTTTTCGACACTTCCGTTCGTGACTGTTAATAAAACACACGTCCAATGCACTCGGACACTGCGTTTACAGGGTATAATATCGCATAACTGCTGTGCGTATCCGACGCGATTTCTTTGTCTGGACAATGGGAAAGTGGACAACTGGAGTTTCGCATACGATCGGGTGAATCATTGATTACATTCTACGCCGGAGCTACTTAACGAACAAATAATAATGACTTTCCTTTGGTACGATCTTGGCACACCAACTCGACGCAAGGTTGAGTTCTCGCTCGCTTCGATCGAACTCGGTTCGAACGGCACCGAGTACTCTCAAGGCACGTGGAAAAGTGAAAATATAACGCGGTGCATAATTAGAACGCGGTGAACCTACGTACGCATAACGAGCGCGGTTCGATGGCTACGGCTCTGCACGTGTCTATTAAGATTTATTCGAATTGGAGCATGCTCACAATTCTGTTAGTCTCGGTTACAGCCGAGACTCGGGAGCGCGATGCGACGGATGGCCATTGACCCTTGCGCGATCGCGACCGATTTATGCGCGCGAGGGTTTTAACACCATAACGCGAACAAACGGGTTTGTTGGCCGACTGACAGACCCATCCAAACGCGTAATGATCCTTGACCATCTAAGTGGGTGTGCTGTATTTATAGTCGGCTCAATTGATTGTTTCGTATTCCGTATCGGCTTATTCGTTCGTCTTTACACGCAAAATCGATCCCATCTGTCACTCGTTTGTTGGCGTCATTGGTAGATAATTAATCATCATTCGCATGCGTTCAGCAAAAAAACTTTGTCTGCGGTAGATACCGCGAACGCTTGCCTTGCACAAAAATATTGAATGCTAAGCGAATAGCGCGAACGAAAGAAACGTCTGTTTGAAATGAATTCTTTTAACACGTATCTCTCGCGTGGAAGTCTATTAATCGTTAATCGAAATAATGTGACAGAACTAATCAGATTTGTCACTTAACTTGTTACTGACTGAATGCAATAGATTTGGTGTTTATCAATTTGGTCGATCAATCATCGATTAGAGCTTGACCACCTGCGTCAAATATTCTGCGTACATATTTGATCAATAGTATTTTTCGATGATTGATACTTACACGTGTGATACTGAAACGCGTCATAAGTTCACACGTGGGCGAAATCGGGTACCGTTTAATGAAATGCAATAGATTAATTTTATTGCAATATCCAGTAAAAAACAGTTTTAAAAGCGCTTAATTAAATCCGTAATATTACTGAGTGAAGTACGTTATCATATCTTTCAAAAGGGGCACGTGCGCTCTTCAAATTTATTTAATTCTATTATTATCGAATTCGAAAACAAAATCGTAATGAAGGGCTCTTCTTTGTAATATCAAATAATTACACCTACTGCGAACACGTGCCGAAATGTTCGTGCAAATTCGACGCAGGTCCCTTTCGTCGATTTATTAGAGAGGGGGATTTATTCACCTTTCGACAGTGTGATGGTCAGTGTCAGAAACATATCGTTTGGTTAATGCGCTGCGATAAGACCTAAAAGGAAAACGGTGCTCCAAAAAAAGGAGAGAGCTCTTTGTACGCGAACCCGTTTTTACAATATCAAAGTCCTTTAAACGCTGTTGATTCATGGCTATTATCCCGAGAACGTATTTCAACCGTAGCAATGACATTTCTCTTCCCACGTTCCGGGGAGTTCATTTAATTCATGATCTACGCACGTGGCAATAAACGTCGATCCTTACTAAGTAACCGAAGATATTGCAATTTGCAGTGCGATGATTTTGATGAGTGGCAGATAAATCGTTTCAATATAATTGCGAAGAAAATTTTATCGAAAGGACTTTGCCAACCGGTGAAAGTTTAATTGGCAATTTTATTGTTTCAGCAGATAATGGCAGATTTAAAAACTCTTGCTCTGACTGGTGGAGGATCTAGATACAGCGGCGATGAGCAAGTGCAGTTCATTCCGGGCGGAAGTCATCAGGTGACAATTAAATCTCCCCCGCCCTCGCTGCATCTTGAGAACCTGAACAATGCGGTCCTCAGGTAAATAATAAAACCAGCTGAACATTTATATATGTATGAGAGTCTACATTTTCGATGCAAAAAGAAAAAGATTGACGTCTTTAGAATTCGTTCCTTATGCGAACTAGGAGAAATGTGATACGTTCGTATAACAGGCGAAGCTCTGTGCAAAAAAATCCTCCTTTCATTAGACCGTCTCTAATATTCAAATAGATCTTTTCAACCGGTTAACAATAATGCTCGTATGGACATCTCATCCATATGAGGGATATCCTTGTGTCTATTTATTTGTATGCGTTATCGTTCAGAATCCAATGGCAACGGTCCGACCTTCAACCCGTAGATAGCTGAATCAACCTTTGCACATTTTTGGCCTCGGACAATCTTGAATTCCGTACACACAATGATTGCATACTATTACCGATGCCGCACGTGATTCATGACGCGCATCGACAACGATTCGCGGATAGCGACAACAAAAGTGAAATCATTGGATTCGAGGAATAACAGATTCTTTTGTCACAATGATTTTCCCGTGACTTCCTTGTCCGCGTCGACGGAGAATTCCGTTTGAAATTCGATTCTGTCCGTGATGAATGAAAGGTCCGCGGTCATCGAGTCAGCATCGAGAACACGCGAGCTATAGCACTTACGTATCCCCAAATACGTATCTCAAGGTCTTCCCATTGATCGCGTTAAGTCTCGAACAAAGACTTCCCTCGAATCGTTTCGTTAAAAACGACAAATAAAAATAGTTGGATATTCTTCGAATCGATCGCACGGAAAACGTACCCATCGAAGTGTTTGACTTTTTTAGGTGGTCTTTCGCCAAAAGTATACGTCGCGTGTTTTAAGGATATATTGGCTATACAATCAATACCAAAAGCTTATGCACTTTAGAAACGCATTTTTTTAAAAGAAATCAGACGTCGGAAGAATATTGCTAATAATAAACAACAAAAAAAAATTTTTCATTTTTCCGAGATTTTCCCAAGGGGTACCCCTTCAGATTTCGCGAAATTTTCGTTTTTTGCCAATAACTCACAAACCGTTGGACTTACGGGAAAATTGTATCAGACCTTTTTTGTAGCTGACGATTAGAGCTACAATTTCCATGTAACAATTCTTCGCTAGCTTCAATAGTTTACGAGTAATTTGCAAAAAACTGTTTTTTCGTTTTTCGTCAATAACTCGTAAACTATTGACGCTAGCGAAAAGTTTTTACATGGAAATTGTAGATCTCGTCGTCCTCTACAAGAAAGGTCCTATGCAATTTTCCCGTAAGACCTACAGTTTAGGAGTTATTGAGGAAAAACGAAATTTTTTTCCAAAAGTTCGCCAATTCGACGGTGGAATGGTCGGATTTTGTCAACATCAATAAAATGCCAAATAATCATACGTAACTTGTTAAATATCGAAGTTAGAAGAAAAATTCATAGAATCTTTCTTGTTGAGGACGTCAGGGCTTATAATTCCTGTATAAAAACGTTTACGTTTTTACGGAAATTGAATCGGTTCGGTAACGGTGTAATCCTCGCGTTTAATGAAACCGTAAAACTAAGACTAAGCAAGAGATCAAATTACAGACGGACAGGTTGCACTTCGTATGCTTAACTCGCATGGCTTCTGAAACATATTTCACCGACGTCCCACACAAGTCACGTTTGACAAAAAAAAATCCGAGTCGTCGTAACACGTAGAATATTATTTTCTCATCGACTTCCACGAATCGGAAATGAGTAGACATTTCTTTTCCTTGCCATAACGCGAAATACGAGAATCGGGGACTTCGCGACGTAGCGCACAAACAGAATAAGCTGTACATTTATTAATGCTACTTAAACGACGGTTTCACGGAAACGAGAACCAACAATCATCTAATTAATCGGAACGAAATGTGTCATACTCGACGTGGTTCCTCAACCGAACCACGTTACTGGACAGCTATTTTCCGATCGAATACCTCCAACTTTTTTCTTTTCATACTTCCAGTGACTCGCAGAACAATCTTCACTGCAATTGCAATGGCGCGACTAATGGTGCTGTGGTTGCAATGGGCACCAGCAGCATGTTCGTGAGGAAAGTACCGAACCACAGCCCGGGACAAGACGGCAAGAGGCCTGCAGTGACTCTGACGCATTTACCGAAGAGGCCACCGGTTGACATCGAGTTCAAGAACCTCGCGTACAGCGTGTCCGAGGGAAGAAAACGAGGTTGGTCTTCTCCGAACGAACGATAAAACTTTAGAACGAAGCGAACGTCGTAGAATTTCATATTAGGATTCCATATATATAAAATACGAATATGACAGATGATTATCTGAACACAAAGTCCAGACGCGAAACGTTTCGTACGCACCGGCCTGATACGCGAACTCCCGTGCGTGAGAGCGCACTCGGTATGTATTTTGTCGAAGAACGCGTGTGAACGACCTAGCCGAAAGAATCGATAAAGACGCACACGGGCTGGTACCCGGTCCAGATGCACCTCGACAGTGCGACTGCACCCGTCCGTAACGAGGTCAGCCAGAGTATACGCAGCTATCCGTGAAAACCTGCAGTTTAACTAAATTTTAATGCCCAAAACCCGTGAACTTGGCAAGATCGCAGACTTTATTTTGGCAATGCGAAGTGCACGTTACGTAAACGGCAAAATTATCGTAGAAACGGATCGCGGAAGAATAAATAAAAATGAAAAAACTTGAACGATAATCGACCCTGAAGCTCGCACGTTTCAATTTGCAGGGTACAAGACGATACTGAAATGCGTAAACGGGAAGTTTCGTTCCGGCGAGCTGACGGCGATCATGGGCCCGTCAGGCGCCGGGAAGAGTACGCTGATGAACGTTTTGGCTGGTTACAAGTGAGTCCTATTTCGAATTCCTCAATTACTTGCATGTACCACGACGTAGATCGAATGAGACGCTACGTTATTCTATGTCTCCAGAACGTCCCACTTAAACGGGTCCGTTCTGATAAACGGGAAGGACAGGAACCTCAGGAGATTTCGGAAAATGTCCTGTTACATAATGCAAGACGACCGTGTACTGCCTCACCTCACGGTCTACGAGGCGATGACTGTTTCAGCGAATTTGAAACTAGGCAAAGATATCAGCGTTGCCGAGAAGAAAGTAGTGGTGCGTCGAAGCATCTCATTAAATCTCGAGCACGATGCCCCGAATAATTTTAATGACACCGCGTTCTCCCGCAGATCGAAGAAATCATCGAGACGCTCGGCCTAAGCGACGCGAGCAATACACAGAGCTGCGCCCTGAGCGGCGGTCAAAGAAAGAGGCTATCGATCGCGCTGGAGCTTGTTAACAATCCTCCGGTGATGTTCTTCGACGAGCCGACCTCTGGTTTGGACAGCTCGACTTGTTATCAGTGTCTAAGTTTGCTCAAATCGTTAAGTAGAGGAGGTAAGTAATTGCGACGACAAACTTCTTACGTAACTGGCATATATGCTTCTACTAACTTTATTCCTATGACATTTTAGGAAGGACTATTATATGCACGATACATCAGCCAAGCGCACGATTGTTCGAGATGTTCGATCACTTGTACCTTTTGGCCGAAGGCCAGTGTATATATCAAGGAAACGTTGGCGGTCTGGTACCCTTCCTGTCGTCCATGGGCTTGGAATGCCCCGGCTATCACAATCCGGCCGATTACGGTAAACAAAATGAGAATCGAAAGGTTTCATGATATTAGAACTATTTTTAATAAAAACCGATCTCGTTCAGTTATGGAGGTGGCGTGCGGAGAACACGGGGAATGCGTGCACAAGTTGGTGATGGCGGTGAACAATGGTAGATGCGCGAATTATCAACATCATCAAGGTACGACCGCTATAAACGCGGTGCAAACCGTGCCGAACGACATCGTGAAAGAATCGCCGCAGCAGGAAACGAAATCCGAGACCGCATTGATACCGAACGGTGTAGCGAAGCAGCCGAACGGAGGTACTGTGATTAACATGCCGATATCTTGCACGACCTCGTTGTTGGATAGCGCGGAAAGTATAGAGCAACAAGTTGGCTTTCCGACGAACAGTTTTACCCAATTTTGGATACTCCTTAAAAGGACATTCTTGTCACAAGTAAGAGACATGGTAAGTACGTCCGCGTGGCTCGCGTCCCGATCTACACTGCCTGTTTCATATAGAAATGTTATCGATGATTATTTTTCATTTAAGACATTAACGAGAGTAAGGCTGATATCCCACATAATCGTCGGGTTACTCATCGGTGCAATTTATTACGACATCGGCAACGAAGCCTCGCAAGTAATGAGCAACGCCGGCTGCGTTTTCTTCACGGTGATGTTTCTTATGTTCACTGCTATGATGCCTACCATTCTTACGTGTAAGTGGATCTCGCGATCAATGAGAGAACGATAAACCTACTATTTTCCTCTAATTGCGTTCTTCCTGTTTTAGTTCCGACTGAAATGGCTGTATTCGTAAGAGAACACTTAAATTATTGGTATTCCGTGAAATCATACTATCTTGCGAGGACTCTGGCTGACGTACCCTTCCAAGTAAGTATAATATTCTCGGTTTCGTCATGATATCACGATTACGCGCACGACAGCGTACATTTCGATGAACGCGTTCGATGTTTCTGTTGCAGATAGTGTATTCTATAGCGTACGTCGTCATTGTATATTTCATGACGTCGCAACCATTGGAAACTAATAGATTCTTGATGTATTTAACTATATGTATATTAACAGCGTTAGTATCTCAATCCATCGGTTTAGTGATAGGATCAGCGATGAGTGTGGAGGTAAGAACCTTTTCGCTACCTTCCTATTCAGTTTTAATCATTTCTCTCGATAATATAAACGTACGTTTCTTTTCTTTAGACCGGAGTGTTTATCGGCCCTGTGTCGTCGGTGCCAATCATTCTGTTCTCCGGTTTCTTCGTCAATTTCGATGCCATTCCAAAGTATCTGAAGTTTCTCTCGTACGTGAGTTACGTTCGATTCAGCTTCGAAGGCACCATGATTTCTGTGTACGGTTACGATCGTGCGAAGCTCAAGTGTTCCGAAGCGTACTGCCACTTCAAGAGCCCGTTGAAGTTCCTCGAGGAGATGTCGATGCAGGACGCGGTGTTCTGGGTGGACGCCGTGGCGTTGACAGGTTTCCTGCTTATCTTGAGGGTGATCGCCTACTTTGTACTGAGACTGAAGTTACGATCTCTTCGTTAAAAACCAAACCAGTGACCGAATAAAAATTTCGCCTCATCGTGTTACGAGCATTCGTATCATCCCACGATCGCACCGAAGAATAATTCGCAATTTAAATTTATTCGCCGAAAAGAGAAAAAGATTGGAAAGCGAGTCGGATTCACGGGGCAGGATGTATGCACATAAACGGGCGTGTAAAAATGTGGTGCGATGAGATGTTTTAATCTTCGTTCGTCTATTAAAGATTTTCCACACTGTCTGCGAGCCGATGGAGTCTCGGCCGCTTTCTTACGTGCACTCACGGTTGCGATTGAACGACGAGGCCGCGAGAATCGCCTTCGGAACGTTCTAGTTTCGGGTGTACAGTGCTTCGTTCGCTTCGTCATTTCATTTGGAGGAAATATTGAAGATGATAACGACGAATTTGCAGTTAAATATAATTTCCACTATGTAAATATATTGACATCGTTTACGATCGAACGAAACATTCGATATTTATATATTTAACGAATAGCGATGGAGGAACGCGTTTCCGGATCTTGTTTCGTGCGCCGTCAAAAGTGATTAACGATAGAAAACGCATAGGACGTTTAGGCATTTCTGGTAAACTTAGAATTAACGCAGAAATTACGTTGGAATTGTGAATCATCGATAATAGACCGAAAGAAAAAGACCACCGGCATTCAATTGAGACGCAAAACAAAATAAAAAAAAGACATTCGTAGCCAATTATTAAAACACTCGCCAGGAGCCTTAGGCCCGTTCAATTCTCATGGTCCCTCCAACGAGCGTGAGCGCACCACGCGAGACATAGACTTTTCTCGATAGATAAGCAATAGAAATTACGAATCAAAGATTAGAACGGATCCTTTATCGCTCACGTGTTCGCGCATTCATCGTTGCATTCATTTCGTCTACTACGAAACGTATCTCGAAGATATACCAGCGAAATCAAAGACGACCAACGAATCGTTTAGCTACTGTATCGGACAAAACGAAATAGTCAATAGAAACTTACGTACAGTAGTGCCCGGTCAGGTGGTCGCAATCGAACGGCAGTAGCTAAAAAAACAGGAGATAAGCATGAATGAAATATCAGTAGAAGTAACTTGTGAGCATCTGTTTATGTACACATGTCATCTCGACTCTGATACGTGTCGATTGGTTAAAGATAGTAAGGAGTTCCCGCTGCGTTTTCCGACTGTCACCGTCTATGCTTCACTCAAAATTTTTCGCATGCTGCGTCGGACTCATAATAACTCACTAACGAATGAAGTATAGACCGGAGCGACTTGGCACAATAGGCAAATCTTATCTTAAGAGCATCAACTTTGATCCGATATGCTCCGAGAAACAACCACTTAAACGGGTTCTACTGTACACCGAAGCACCAAAAATTAATTTACGTAACGTCCGACACTTGACGTATGTCTGCGAGATACCCTATTGGAATATTTGTACTGCTAATGAAAGTAACTTGGGTCGCGGGCAATCCTTACCCATATCGGCATTCCATTTATAGATAATTCGATAATTATAATATCTAAGCGACAATGATGAAAAAAACAAATGACGAACGTATTATTGTAAAAAGCTCACACCTGACCAATCACTAGCTGCCTGTGCGTTTGCTTTTAAGTGGGAGTGCTGAACATTGTTACATTTATTACGGTATAGTCTTTTAATTAGAGGGGCAGAAGTGACAAAAAGAAAAACGGGGTGAAAAATGGGCACGTGAGTCTGTACGTTAACGAATTTAATGAGATTCATTCTGGTTTTGGAGACATTTACAGGTATTCGTTTCACGGCCTATGCACTGTTCTTACCGTTACAGGTTCATTTATTCAACGACTGAAAAGTAACTGAAAAGAAAGAACAGATCTTCATAGATTACCTATGATTTACAATTAGATCCCCGCGCCGGCATCATTCTGCAATAGCTGATATGGATTGTACAGTTATCGTTGTAATTAGTAACTTCGCACTTAAGTTTTTCAGACGCGAATACGATGTACAGTCTACGATCATCATATAAATATTTTTCTATCTCGATCAAATATAAATTCGGCTTATTATCATCATCGAGAGACAGTTGAGTTACCCATCAGTAAAAACCACTAATGTATATTCCGATATTCGTTTGTTACCTTTAATGTAATCGCAACGTAAGTGAATGGCAGTATTTAACGCATACTAAATGCTTAGAAGTTTCCAAGAGGAGTCGTGCTTTTTTACTTAAATCAAGACACTACCGATCCAACCGATCGTCGATACGTTTCTACTCATTTCCAGTTACGAATTGACAAGGTCAGGGCGATTTAGGACTCCATTAAAAGAGTGTCAAACGATGATTTCTAAGCAGTGATAATCTATGCTTCGCGCGTGAGCTGGTTATTTAAGAGCGTCTTGTAAAAATGAAAAAAGAAGCAGTGAATCATGTAAGTAAGGTGAAGGTCGGGGAAGAAGGCAGAAATGTTCATATTTTTAGACTCGCTGCATAGTTATCGTTCTTATTTTTTCTTATCGTAAAATTAAGTGAATTAAACAATCGTAATAGCGTAGACAAGAAACAACGACGCGACGCATTGTACGTGTGATCGTATACTTACATATTACGTTCTTTCTTTTTTTATCTTATTTTCTACCTTTGTAAACCAGTTAATAGTGGAATTGTATACTTTAATTTCATACGATATATATATATATATTAAGTTTATATAATTATTTCTGTTTGATTTGCGTTCGATAACTTGGAATGTCTGTGATTCAGTGTTGGCAAGCTAATCATTTGGCGTGCAAGCATATAAATCTATGTATATAAGTACGACGTAAATCTTAAGATTAAGGATTCCTAATGGAATTAGATATGAAGAGGCATTGAAATCGAGTGAACAGGGACGCGAGGGATGGATCATGTTTACTGTTTTCGTTTAATTTAGAAGATGAACGTGATTTACGTTCCGTTTGAACCTTGTTCGTAACAGTCACTTAATGAAAGTGTCGTGTACATTCGAAATACGAATCGAACTAGAAGATACATTTTACAATTACTCAATCGTGTTGTACTATAATCGTCATATTTAATAATTACTCGTAAAGGTAGCACATACAGACATTACACAGAGCCAAGGTTCAAACATGGAACTGGACTACGATTTCCAATGCGTTTACCCTTCGTTCGATTTATCAGTTTCGTATTTTATTCCACTTTTCGTCTTCTTCTATAATGCTGCGCGATCGCGTACACAATCGAGAACATGCGGGGGCAGAGGGACGGGGTGTAAAATGCGATCGTTCAATTCGAATCCACACGAATCAGCGCGTATTGTGTTCAAGTGCTCGGGAGAACTGAGACTGTAATAAAAAAATAATAAAAAAAAAACAACCAGCGAATTTTTAATTACACGCGACTGTCTTGTGGGCAGAACTCTCGGACTGCTGCTAATTAGTTCGAATTCGATTAATCGTCATGTTCGCATAACACGTAGATGCGCAGCATAAGAGAATTGATTATTAATGAATAAAAAATAAAAAATGATGTTCCCGCTTTTAGGACACGTACTCCACACGTAAATGTAATAAAATGTACATTGCCCGAGCATGTATCGCATAACAGTTCATGACACTTTTTTCAAGTATTGTAATTTTATATACATAAACGAAAATGTATACGTGTGCAAGGCTGTGCGTGTGTGCGTGCAAACGAAGAATGTGGGCAACGAGGAGCGTGAGACAAGAACAAGATTCAATAACGAATGACGATAAGTACATCGTAATGTAACACACGCGGGCAATGAAAGAATGTATTCCGGCGTCCTTGCGAAACTTTTCAACATTTCGTGTTCTAAGCAAGGAGCGGCACGTTTGTACTACGGCACAAATGAATAAAAGCATCTGTATAATGTATGGAAATGGAATAATCTTGTATCTTTATTCAGCGCGCATTTTAATTGAGCCATCGAGGAGTAATCTCTCCTCGGTGCTTGTGCGTTTTGAATTTGTAACCGAAAATGCGATCCACGTGGCCCGCGACCGACCAATCTAATGCACAACTGTCTATTTTAAGCTAACATTTAGCAATGCTACCAAAGTAAAGCTTCTTTATGCTTCCCGATTCCTTTAATTTACGATTAGAATATTATAACAATTTATTTAGTTAAATTCAATGGGACTCGTGGAAGTACGCTTCGTTATCCGCTATTCCCAGATGTTCTCTTTTGTACAACATACCAAATTTCGATTTCTCTCTTTCGGAATGATATTAGAAATTGTGAGATTAAGTTGGCAAGAAATCGAGCTGCAGTTTAGAGAACTCTTAGAGAGGATTGCAATCTACCGTCCAGCGGAATTTCGAAATTAGCACGCAGTCAATTATGGAAAAGCCCATCGTTCGCGCGAGGGTAGTGAAAGTCCTAGGGAGAACTGGTTCCCAAGGGCAGTGCACGCAGGTCAAAGTGGAATTTTTGAACGAGCAGAACAGGCAGTTGATTCGAAACGTGAAGGGTCCGGTACGAGAAGGGGACATTCTCACTCTCTTAGAATCAGAAAGAGAGGCCAGACGTCTTCGTTAAACTACCCTATCATCCCCTTTCGAAGTTCCACGGAGATATTCAACTCAATCTGGCAGCTGCAAGAAGGTCTGAGGACGTGTGTCTGAATTTAAGCGCAACAGAAAAACCGTTAATCCAACATTCATTTTTTAGATGCTTCGAGCAGAACAAACCGCATTTAAAATTGACGATTCGATGCTCCTTTTTAATGTAAATACTCTACTTCGATCGACTAAAGATTTGCCGGTTATTTTTTACCAAAGAATATATGCGAACGATGTAGCTGTTGTTACGGAATGACAGTATTGCTGTTAAATTAAAAGTAGTAAACGAAAACTCGATGGTCCTATGTTTTATATTACGTTCCCTTAAAAATAATTAGTAAACAAATATTTCTAGAAATTTCTGGGCATAGCTCGGCGTGGTTAACAGAGACCGTTCCTTTATACGTCCATCTCTCTTTCACGCCAAGTTCTGTACGTAGGGGTCACTTCCTTCGGTACTTCCGGCGCACTTAACGCATTTCTCAACATCGTTAATCGAATTGATTGAAAGCCGAGAAATGGCTTGAAGAGTCGATAAAATTACGAACAATTTTCATTATATTATTTTGTATTATTCCACGTCCGTTTAACGAAGAAAAATGCTATGTGCGCAATACAAGAATGGACATCCGATGGCGCAACCATCGCCCGGTGGAACGAGCCGGCCTTGGCGACTTTAGTCGAGCTTGATCATCCGCGCTATCAACATGATGCTCGTAATCATGAGTTCCATAGTTGGAACTTCTGATTGCGATGCGACTTTTGCATTATTTTTCTATCAATCGTTGAGAGTTGTTTGTATTTAGTGTTAATACTCAAGCTGGCTAGTGTGTGATTGCTTGCTCATGCTGGATTCCTGAACTTAGCTAACTCCCCATTGCGTGCGGTTTGATTTCACCGGGCGTTTCGGCAAGCGTAAGTCCCCTTTTAATTTTTCTTTCCTTCTATCGTTGCCGGTAAGGCGAAAGTTCTGTACATTTTGGGCACGATGCGGTGCGGATGCAGCCATCTTGGCGCGAACCGCGTGGCGTCGGCGTTCATGGCGGACAGAATTTCCGTGCCGCGTTTCAGGAATTTTAACCGATTACTGCGACGCGCACCGCTGTTACACGGCCCGGTTTTACGCGGTGATTAGACGGTTCCGTCGCTCTCTCGATCGCCTATTTTCAGTAAATTCGATTCATCAGGATCGGGCTGGTGGGGGAGAGGTCGCACGTGCAAAACCGGTAACCTATTAAGGATCTTTCATCGCGATTGTCGACGAGCAGTAGCGAAAGAAACGATTATAAGTTCTTCGCATCCAGAAGCGGTTTCCCAGCTTAGCCTCGTCTTCAAAATTCGTGTGTAAGTGAGGTATCAACGCGATCTATGTTGCCTACTTCATTTACAAACTACCTTTATCCGGTTCCTCGCGGCTTGCGTTTGTTCGGGATTAACGGTGTATCAGGCTTGCACAACTCCGGAATAGGAGTTACAGTATAACGCCCCCGACACCCGGGCATCGCCTGTAATGGGGTGATAGCCCACCAAAACAGCACGAATGCGAAGCAACCACATTGAGCTTCTGTGCTCTTCCATCGCTTAGGGTAGCTCAGGTTCTTTATTAGCTTGTAAGTTTCGATAGCTCAGGGTAGCGTCCCTTCGTACAGGGTGAAGACTCAAGAAATTAGTTTCAAGAGTATTTAGCAGTGGCTAGCACTCTAAGTGCTCTTTCGGGCAGGTCCATACTTTGTTTAAACTATGCCCTCTCTTCCATTCGGGGGAAACGGTATATGTTACTGCGAACGTCTTTCCGCAGTGTAGTTCTTTGCAATGGCAGGGTGGTTGGGAATCGTGTTAAGCTCATGAATAATACAGACAACCGCGGAATTTAGCTTCAAGGAGATTGGGAGTGGCTAGCACTCCCGTCTTCTTCCCGGGCAGGTCAATCTTGCATTATTTTTTTTTTTAACCTTGGCTTTAACCGGGAGTTTAAGGTGGCTGCGAATGTCTTGCCGCAGCATCGGGCTCGAGTTTGCAATGGTCGGGTGGATGGGACCGTCGGAGTTAGGGCGAGTCACCAATTGCAGCAACCTCCTCGTGGTGTGACTTGGGAAACTTTTGTTATGTACACGGTACATAGCAGAAATTTGCTAATGGCTGCAACCAGTTGTATATGAATAAATGAATAAATACTAATTTTATACCAGACAATTCTGACTGCTATTAATTCTAGAATAAGATTTCCTCTTCCCTTCCTTTCGCACTGCGATCAATGACGCGATTTACATATTACTAATTGAGTTAGTTAATTATACGTTGTAACGAGACGGAGTTCGTGTTATTTTTCTTATTGGTACTACGCTCGGATTTCAACACAAGCAAAGTATGTAAAAAGCTGGAATCGGGATGTGAAACATGGATGGAGGGGACTTATATAACGAAGTAGGGAATCCCATAATCTAATCGGCGACCAATCCACTGATAGAATTTTCGAATGGAGATATTAATTATTCGTGTGTTAAGCAACGATCACGATTAAGATTTGAAACAGTCGACGACGGGCATCGATCGAGACCGTTCGTGAAAACGCCGGTTCGCGTATTGGCAGACGCAGAGCTCGGTACGTCACATTTTCCTCTATTTTCTACCGCTTCCGGCTACACCTCGTAGTGCGTCTTCGACGTCGTCGCTGTTCGTAATTTAAAAGAAATCGTTTGTACGTATAAGTATGGATACGGACAAATTCGTGGAATAGCGATCGTGAAATAATTCCGTGCATGGATGGAACATATAACGCGAAACTAAGTAGTGTTGGTTTGCTTCGAGTATAACCTCGGGTTCTTGCGGTTAGGAAATGCTGTAGTGCGCGTCACTCTCCGCATCTGAAGTGAAACATTCGTTTTTTCTTGCTCTTCGAACTGGGAACCGCTTATGCTATGCGCGTTTTTAATAACCGCAGACTAATTTACATGCACGCCGTTGTTCCATCCAATTCGTTGAATATTCACTATAATCACGAAGACCTTTGATGTTCTCGCGAGAATAGAATAAACTTATTGATTGTTTAGTCTCCCGCCATGTTCAAACCTTGCGACTCTGGTTTTCTCAATCCTTTCGATCCATTATTGTCTAGTTTTAAGATTCATTGTAATATTCTTATTCATCCTAGCAAATAAGTCTTCAATGACGTTGTATAAATCATCTCGACACAAAGTTCAACGCTTTTTTCATGCTTACGTAAATTTAATGAATCGCATAAGTTAATCTGCTTTTGCCAAGGCCGTCGAGCTGCCAGTATCGTTAACCGTTGTAGAAAACTAATGCTTTTTACGGTAAATCAAGTTTGCCACGAAAATAACTGTTCCTTCAAACGGAATAAAAACATATTCATCTTTCTTATCCTATTGTACGATCGTTAATTTTGTCGCAGATCCTATCGCATAATTCTCCTATACATCGCGTAACTATGCAAATTAAACAAGCACGCATTTCGTTATGATCGTCTACGAAAATCTGTATTCAATCCTTGTATTCCAAAAACCTGTTTCTGACTGTTTACAGAGAATTCCACTCGTCGCGTTGGCGCCAAAGTACAAGTCCGTCCACGGTAGTAAAACGAATTGAACAATGGTGGAAAACGAAAAACTAAACGGATATTTAATTAACAATGGACTCGATCGGTGAGCAAAACGATGCACACGCGTGAAAGTTGTGAATGTTTGTTTAGTAACTACCTCTCTCAAGCTTCAGCGATATGTTCGTTTTGTTATTATACAAGCACAAATTTACTCATCGCCTGATTTAGCAAACTGTATCCCCCGTGTGGCGCAATATAAATTTTGGTTACCAGTATGTTTCTCGCATCGAGTATTTTTATTTTAACGGATGCAAGATTGTACTGATCAATTGATAAGTACATGTATATATGTATGTACGCGCAAACGATTGAATTATAAACCGTAGTGTCCTTCCGCCTATTATTGTCCATTGAAGTCCATTCAACTTTTAATAAGCACGTGTCAGTACTCCTTTTCATTCTTTAAGGGTTCAGACTCCTGACCGAGAATATTTGAGAACGATAACAGTCTTTGAAATATTTTGTTGGAATTCTTATTCGTCTCACGCGTATCTTAAGCCTTGACCAAAGTGTTCGACAGCTTTTCCGATAAACTCAATCGAATCCCGATAACTCGATCGATAAATACATATCTTTGAACTCTTGAATCCAATTCTTGTATAATAATCATTTTTAAAAATCTCTTGAAAATAATTGCATCGCTCGTTGCATAAATGACGATAACAAATTCATTTCGTGATCGAGTTGTAGATTTTTAAATTCGTTTTAATGATCGTAGTAGAATTCGTAATTGACGATGGCTGCAGAATAGACTACAAGCACGTATGTGGCGTGTAAATTAATGTGAAGTTGTACTCGCGATTGTAGCAATTATGTTCTTATCGTGGCTGCCAAACAAGTGCACTGCTCGCTCGGACTTTGCGCTTCTAGTTGAGTAAGCGAACTTTATTCCGAATAGATTCATAAAATTCTGCACGATAACGTTATCGATAGTAGAGGACTTTAATTTTCTCGACGCATAGCACTCGTTTTGGCAATGAACTTTCACTCCTTGCGCCAGCTTCGCCGTTGCATAAGAAACGAACAACAAGAAATTTCTTAAAATTTCAAGAAATCACTGAAAGGACATGAATGAGCCTCGTTTTTGCGCTTTGAATTCGCTTAAACATAGATAATCACGCTTATCAATGTCTCAATGCAAGAAAAGCTTGGACCCGAAGCGCGTGACTTGATTTTTAGCGTCATACTCTTCAAAATTCTTTGTCGGCTTATCTGCGTTCGTTTTTAAACTGAGATGTACATTCGCTTTTACAGTAAACGTCCTCTGCATGCCAAGTGTATCTTGTCTCATTATTCCTAAAATCTCTGCGCACGGAATGCAAATACGTGAATCGCGTAACTGCGAAGAGGACGAAAGTTCGTGGAATTCGAAATATTTGCATGACTACGTGTAGAACAACACGTTTTCCCTTTCCGTCTACGTAAGAGCAAACACACGAAAAGAAATGTAATATTTGTCGAAATAAATTCGTTCCATAAACAAGATAAACAGATGGCCCGATTAAGATACGTCGTGCGTGGTTATCATTTCGAACGACACCTGCACGGACAATCCTATCACTGACATAAACTATTAGTTCATTAACAATGGAATAATCCCGATGCGTTCGCCATTTACTTCTTATGTATTAGACGAGAAAAAGAGGCGGAAAAATGCCGATAGCGCTATCGATAGAGCGAGATGGATGATACATAGACGTGGACGGTAGAATTCATCGCGACATACGTCATTCGTCATTTGCTTTCCGCTCAAGTGACTAGTACATTTTTTATTCGACGAACTAAAACCTTGTATCCTCTTCTACGTAACCGATTCGCTCCGAGACAACTTAATGAGCCAGATTTCATGGATCAGATTTGGTGCACGCGAAATCCAATCACCTTCTCGTAGGCAAATTCAAACTTCCTTACAGGCAAACCTAATAGATCACCCATGAACTACTTTTTCGTCCTTATATTTAACGCATACGGTATGATGACGCTGATCGAACGTGATGCGAGGGTCATGCGTCGAACCATCGGTTCATTTCGAACCATGTAGAACACATTTCGAAATGAACAGAGGTGAAATACATGTCAATCATTGGCAATCTGTAATTCAGATTTTATTAACGCCATTTATGGGAGATCTACCGCATGACCGCGGCGTTTCATGCAATTTAAATCAGTTCTTGGCAGGTAGTTTTAAACCTAAGAATGACGCTGCTCATTTCATCCCAACTCTGACGTCCCTATTACATGCGCTTTTTTTTTCATAAAGAATTAAGTCCGATCGACCTTGATCGCTCCTAAAGCTGCAGAGCCTTAATCGTCGGAGACGTTGTTAAAAATAACTTGGCGATCGTCGAAGAAATCGGCCGGGTACAGACTCGGACGTGCGAATGAAACTATTAAAGAGACAAATTACCACGGGCAGGGCGAGGAACTAAAAAGCTCCGGGCAAGCACGATCTCGACTTTGATCGCGTTAACTCCTCGATCGTCCTCCTTTGTGACGGCTTTAGAAAGACGGTGGTAGCAAGGAAACGGGCGCGAGAGCGAGAGGCAGTGGTTCGAAGCGAGTAAGAGCGTGCTGGAAAGCAACGGCGGTCAATGGTGATGGCCGCGGTGCAGTAAAATAGTAGGAGTTAGCCAGTCAGTCTCGAGACACGGAGTATCGAGCATCGTCGAAGAACTGCGTACGTGTCCGCGCCCGCTGGCCTCCTCGTTATCGCCGTGCATGCCCGGAAGCGTCCAGTTTTCGCAGTACGCGTGGCGTGCACTACCCGTGAAACGTTGCGAGTGTGTGCTACGTTCGATTCGCTCGAAACCGTGCCCGAACGATAGTGCGTGATACGAGGACGTGCAGCGTTCCAGCTCGACATGCACTCGGTTCCGACTCAAGGATAGACGGTTCTACTCTACGCAGTTGTCGCTCCAATATCGACTTCCCACGCGTCGTTGCTACGATGATGTAAGAACGCGGTTTATTCGAAATTGCCGCCCCTGAATTCTAACACCATGCGATTCCCGTTCGCCTAGCCGCGGCTGGAATCGCTCGTTTAAATTAAGCGTTTCGTCACGCTGAATCCGGCATAAATATCGCCGGTGTGTCCCCTTCACGGGTCTTTTCCTTGCTTGGGAAATGCTTCCCTTGATGGGAAATGCGTGGGAAATGCGACGCCGGTTGTAAGAAAGAAATCCACTTGCATGCTTCCGACGATTTTTCCGAACTGATATACCGCCGCGCAACGAAATTTCAATTCTCGAGGACCTATAAGAGGAAATATAAAGATTCATTGTGTTCGCGCCGCGGAAAGAACCGCATTTGCATTTACGCAGTCGCGTGACGCTGTATAATCGAGTTAAACTTGGTAACGAATCGTTTTTCAGGCGATGAGAAAATTTGTGCGTGCGTCCGCTAACGAGAACGTAACGCTGCGAAAAGACCAGTTGGTTTGAAAGAAAGTTGGTCGAGGAAAGAGAACGGCGATTTAAATTTTACTCGGGCTGAGAGAATAAAAATAGGACGAGATGAAGCTTGAGGGGAATAGTTCGCGGGAAGATAACACCAATGAGATCTTGTTGCAACCTAGGAAGGGCTCGGGCACGAGGCTGCAGATCGTGCCCGCGCAACCGAAAACGATCACCCACCTGCCGAAGAGACCGCCGGTCGATTTGGCGTTCACCGATCTGACATACAGGGTGCGAGAGGGTGGTAAAAATAGTAAGTACAGTATTTTCTATATTACACATTTGTACGAAGTGTAAAACCAGCTTATAGCCGACGGGGTCATTATACTCGTGACTTAGTTAACAAAAAAAGTCAATAACCTTGTGAGAACCGGCACTTCCGATAATACTGTTTAGCGACCAAGAAGAGTAAAAAAGTCAATAGAATTTACAAGTTGCATGCAACATTTCTGTAGATATATTCGTATCAACGCAGAGCTAGATAATATGTGAATCATCATTGCTACTGATAGTAAATTAATGATTCTACTATTTGAAAAGCGAAGTCGAGCTCACATTTTCTGTGGAAACATAACTTTCTACAGGACTCGTCGAGCGCGGTTAGCCATAGGTAGTGACCGAGATTTTGTAAGAAGACCGGTTACAACCGTTTCCGAACGATGATACGTATAACCTTGGTGCAAATTTCAAGACGTTCGCGATTAAATGTTGAGAGAAAGAAAGCGTCGGTTTGATAAGCGCAGCTGAGACGGTCGTATGACGAGTAATTCGTGAAGACCAGTCTTTGTTTCCACTTATCGTTAATTTATCCTCGGTCCAACTTGCTGTTCCAATTGCAGTGGTCGCGCGATAAACCTCCGTTTCGTTGGGATCGTGTTTACATCTATCGCTCACTAATTTAATATTACTAGCCCGGTGCATATGAAAAATTCGTTTTTCTCAAATCAATGAGCTGATATGTTTGTCCATGAAATACCACAGAATTTTTATACGCTTTGATGTAAACAAAGAATCGAGAATAAATTTCATAGTAGTCCTGATTATGATTAATTAAATGCATTTAAATCTCGACGGAGTAAAAACTGTAATTACGTTGAACTTTGCTCTGTTCCCTAATTAACGTTTCACAATCGTAGGATATCGCGTTGAACCGTATGTGTGTCAATGACCAGGTTGATGCTTCGGCAATTGTTTCATTGAACGTACATCGGATCTATAAATGTAACGTCGAAATAAATACATCCCTGCAAACTCGAGAATTTTTTTATAACGCGGAACAAGAGACAGTCGTATTAGTACAAAGCGCGAGGAATGTATAATCAAGAATCTGTTATTCTTTTGAGGGAACAAAGTTCAAAGTTCTGGTAATTTTATCATAAAGTCAGTGTGTCATGTCTATAACGCACACCTGCACGTGTACAAACGTACAACACGAGAGATTAGGGCAATATAACTGCTTATAGAAAGTGAATGTACACGGTTCAGCAATATTTTTGCAATCCACGTTTGCGCAACTACAAGCAGCCTCGCCAAAGTTTAGCTCCTCCGTTTAATATTCAGCAGATGATTTTAAAAACGCCAGTTTCTATAGAGATTTAAATAATTTACAATAGTTAATTATAACTAATATGTATCCTGCAGTCGACTGTTGGAACCACTGCGGTTTATATCACTTGCAAGAAGCATCTTTATGCTAATGAAAACTTGAGATGTTGAATACGCCAGTCACTAAAATATATAATGTCACGCGTAAATATACATGCATATGTATTACGTGTCAAGCAAAAGTCTAATACTTTCTGAATACAAATGATTTGGCACGCAGGTAGAACCGAGCCTCTTAACTCGATGGAATCGTGGAACTTTGAATTGAATTTTTCTAATTGACCGTAATCTGGTCCGTACGAGATGGGCGGGCCACGCTACGATTGCAAAAAAGAATCCATAGTCATGCAATCTTTGCATGCACGTGAAATTGTATGATGTAACGCCCATAGGATCATAATGTAGGCCTCGGCTTGTCAACTGACACTGCATAGTAACACCGTCTAACGAAGCGAATTAAAAAAGTGTTTAAGATAATCGATTCGAAGAAAAGAAGTTTCTATTATAGAAAACATCAAGGATAACTTCGACTTGCAATTACTTATGCTATTATAGGATGGAAATTTGCATTTTTTAAATGTACAAGAAATGAAACGGATTTTTAAGCGTGGAACGCGTTTGATTGATTTTCAGATGCGAAGACAATTTTGAAATCCGTCAGTGGAAGGCTGCGGTCTGGAGAACTGACGGCTATCATGGGGCCTTCCGGTGCAGGAAAGTCCACTCTTTTAAATATCCTCACCGGATACAAGTGAGTCATTATGTTTATGCAAGTTTCGTAGCGCACTCGCTGCTCATTGCCGGATCATTTTTCAAATTTTCTCATATCCCAGCCTATTTCCAACGAGCCTGAACGACGACGTCCGACGCTGATTTTTCATGATGAGTCGCGTTTCACTTTCTTTTTTCGACGCCCGATTTCGCTTTCTTCGCGACACTGTTGCGTAATTTTTTCGGCTGTAAACACGGAAACGATACTTTCTAAACGACGTGGGAATCGTCGCTCGTCGTGAAATGCCAGACGTTCATTTTTACAAGGACGACATTGTTAAGAATTCGGCAAGCCACGTGCGGCCGAATTCAAAGACATCCGATTGATATCTCTTCTGTTGCTTAGCTGTTTCATTTTGTCCTCCGACGTCATCGCATTGACGTTAGCGCGATGCTTAATGAGAATTATGCGCTCGAAACCCGTTCCGTACAAGTCGCGAATAATAATAAAATTCGTCATAGATCCTTTTTTTCTTGAATCGATTCTAACGACGACGATGCGTATAGATGGCTAGGCGTCGAAGGAAGTATCACGATGAACGGCCATGAGAGGAACCTTAGTGCCTTCAGAAAGCTATCGTGCTACATAATGCAAGATAATCAGCTTCACTCGAATTTAACCGTGGCTGAAGCCATGAAAGTCGCATCGAATCTTAAACTCGGACCGCATGTCACCAAGGAGGAGAAAGAGGAAGTGGTACGTTAGGAGAGTGACCGAGAAATTACATTCGAGACTATAACAGATTCTCATTCTCGTTTAGATACAAGAAATCCTGGAAACACTTGGACTATCCGAGCATCATCGGACCATGACTTCAAACCTGAGCGGTGGTCAAAAGAAAAGACTCTCGATCGCATTGGAACTGGTCAACAATCCTCCCATAATGTTTTTCGATGAACCGACCAGGTAAGATCATCGTATCGTATCTTCAGAAACGTGCGAATTTCGTGTGGATCGAAAGAAACACAGGGAAAGAGAGGTACTCTTTCTTCTCTATGCACCTTCACTTTCACCAATATCAATGCCAGAGAAACCTGTTTGGTCTTTATATAACGTTCAAACGAAAGCACGGTCAGTGTCAGCAAATTATCTCCGAAGTTCACGTCCCTTCCAGCAAAATACGGAAATAATGGAACATCGAATCTCTTAAGAATTTATTTACTTGTAATTGACGTTCAAATATTCAACTAATTATTTCATAAAAAAATCTGACAATCTTTTATAAATATCGTGAATTGTTTAAAAAAAATTGGCTACGCTCAGATACAGAAAAAGAGTTTCGTTGAACAACGAAATGAAAGGATGAACGCACATAATAACAGCTAAGAAGAGAAAGTCTGCAACTAACTTGTCTAAGTTTTTGAAACTCTTTTTGCTCTCGCTTTCACTGAAATCGTGCTGATATCATTACATATAGACACGATTTTTTCGATGTCGAATCAGTGACATCGAATTTATCACGAAATTATTATCGATATATGAGCGACCTCGATAAAAAGGCGTAACCGGTTCTCCAAGGTCTGCCGGTGTTAATTCTCTTTTTGTGCAGACAGAAAAAGAGACGACTAATAAAATCAGTCCAGGGTTTATGCAAATACACAAAAAGTTTCGCGATTCGAGCGTGGTTTCAATCTACCCATGGCAATAATATGTTTCTAAATTCGTTTCTAGTGGTTTGGATTCCTCGTCTTGCTTCCAATGTATTTCGCTCTTGAAGACTTTGGCTCGAGGTGGAAGGACAATCATATGTACGATCCATCAGCCCAGCGCTCGACTTTTCGAGATGTTCGACGCTTTGTACACGTTGGCCGAAGGACAGTGCGTCTATCAGGGGTCCACATCGCAATTAGTGCCTTTCCTTCGAAACATCGGTCTCAACTGCCCGAGCTATCACAATCCAGCTTCCTTCAGTAAGCGATCATCCACATCTACGTTTTCTCTGTACACTAACGATCTCGAATCACTGATTAATTCAATCCCCAGTCATCGAGGTGTCTTGCGGAGAGTACGGAGATAATATCAAGAACCTGGTGAACGCTATAAAGAATGGACAGTACGATATCCGCGAGGGATATCCATTCCCAGAAAACAAACCGGAGAGACTCAATAATGAATCGTACTCGAAAGGTGAAGACGGCGAAGAACGCGCAGCAGAAGAGAAAGATAAGAACGATATTAGTAATCTGCAGGAGAAATTCCAAGAGGACAAAACGAAAGAAATGAATAACAAGGGTATCATTCCAGTTTTTGCGACCAACGACATCGCCAAACAAGGTACGTGTCTCGAGAACATTAAAATCCGCTCTTGTCCTGATTATATTCACTAGCGTGCTTTTTGTGCCGCAGAGGTAGCGATACCCATGGATGTAGAGAAAAAGGATAACGCGGATGTAGCCTTGCTCGACGATTCGATTGTAGTAACTCCGGAAAGATACCCGACGTCTGAATGCCGACAATTCTGGATCGTTCTGAAGCGAACGTTACTCTTCAGTCGAAGAGACTGGGTAAGCAGATTGATGCGATCTTTTCTTTTTTTACTTGAGCGTTATTAATTGTTTCTTTTATTTACAGACGCTCATGTACCTTCGACTCTTCGCACATATTCTAGTAGGATTATTAATCGGCGCTCTTTATTACGATATCGGGAATGACGGTGCTAAAGTACTTAGCAACCTCGGATTTCTGTTCTTCAACATGCTGTTTCTAATGTATACGTCTATGACCATCACGATCTTATCTTGTAAGCGATATATTCCTTTCTCCTTTTTCAATTAATTACTCGAGTTTAATTACGAGCTAATCAAATTTCGTCTGATTACAGTCCCGCTAGAACTGCCAGTGCTCCTGAAGGAAAACTTTAACAGATGGTATTCTCTTAAGGCCTATTATCTAGCGATAACCGTGTCCGATATACCATTTCAGGTAAGTAGATAATGTGACTCAGATAATACAGTAATCTCCTCTTCATGTCGTTGCATCAAAAATTTGTAATTCTCTTACAGGCAATATTCTGTATTATGTACGTGTCGATCGTATATTTCATGACGAGTCAACCACCGGATATGATGCGATTCAGTATGTTCTTGGGAACGTGTTTACTAATTTCGTTCGTCGCACAGTCCGTCGGACTGGTCGTCGGAGCTGCAATGAACGTACAGAACGGTGTGTTCTTGGCACCGGTCATGTCCGTGCCTTTCCTCCTGTTCTCTGGCTTCTTCGTCAGTTTCGACGCCATTCCCGTGTACCTTCGATGGATCACGTATCTTAGCTACATTAGATACGGTTTCGAAGGAACCGCGCTGGCCACGTACTCCTTCGGCCGAGAAAAGCTTAAATGTTTCCAGGTGCGAAGTTCGATCCTTCAGTTTTCATTGCGTATTAGTTTGTAACGCTTACTTATTATCGAACGCTTTTCCAGGTATACTGTCACTTCAAGAACCCAGAAACGACGTTGGAGGAGTTGGACATGCTCGATGCCGATTTCACCCTCGACATTCTTGCCCTGCTTTTGATATTCCTCGTTCTTCGAATCGTTGCCTACTTGTTCCTTCGTTGGAAACTGAAGACTGCGCGATAAATCGGTCCGCTGTTATCGTCAATTAAACGAAACTTCTACGAATCAACGCTAAAGGGTAAACGTGATGATGGATCGTTGTAGCATCGTCGTACGGAAAAATACACGATCGACTGTGTAAAGGAAAAATGGAATGTTATACACCGTTCACGCCTACGATCGACGGATTCGCGAAATCTACGAACTATGTTATTTATTAATTTTAAAACGAGTTTCACGATTAATTGTTTGTTTAGGATATCTCGTCGTTGTCTTTTTGTATCCGCTATGCGATGTGATTTAATAGAGCGAGTGTGATCTCGACCGCGAGGATGTACTCGAGATAAGGCGAACGGAACAATCGTGAGAGTCCTTGATTCCGTTGTTCAAAAGAGAACGAGGGGCCTTAATCGACAATGTTTCGCGAGCAATTACATTTACATCCACCAATGGCTGTGAGCTTGACGATGCACGAGGGTTACGGATGATATAAATACAATGATAAAAGCGTATCTTTAATTTTAACGCGGACGACTCGAACGACGTTGTCTGTTAAGGATGAATCTTGCCAGATTTATTACATGTAATAACTTGCGAAATTGTACAATCATCATCGCGACTGCTGCAATTGATGTTCATGTCTCTGTCTACGCGCAAAACGTATTTTCTAATCGAGATTACATTTAACGAAAATGTAAAAGGTACACTGGGACAGTGTGAAGCTTTAAACTTTAAAATAACAACTTTATCGTCAGTTTTCACCGACTTTTCTTCTTCTTTCTCGTCGAGTATGTTAGGTAATCGTAACACTTATCGTTGACGAAGAATAAAAAAAGAAACTCCGAATGATCGATCAAACTTATTTGTATTTTTTTTCTGGACTAGCATCCTGGCTTGACAAATGTACTTTAATGGGAAAACGCGTTTGTATCTATTTACACAAGTGGGATAAATTATACAAGTTATATATGCAAAATATTAGCGTGATCGGAATCGGTCGATATCTATACATATATAAATATATATATAAATATATATATATATATACTTTTGTAAAATATTGCACGTGCGAACGCATGTGCCTATGCTGCATTGGCATAATGTTCGTTGTATTTTATAGCGTATATTTACTATGAATAAAATTATATGCTTTTCGTATTACGTTCATTTCATTCCAACAGATTCATGAAAGAAATTGATTGAGTATTAAAACATTCAAAGGATAATATCATAAAAAAATGCGTATAATAAGTATACACGACGGAGGATGTGGTAATCGGACTCGTATTATAAATACTCGTGGTAAGTTTATGAATATTTGTAGAATCGTTTTTCATTCGATTACAAGAAATAAAGAAGATAAGTGACTATCGTAACGAGCTGTTTATCCTGTATTGACTTTAAAAGATCCTCCAGGTTTCACTATGACATTAAGGATTCTTACGTTCTTCCGGTTTCTGTTATATAATTTTCTTTGCATAATACGAGACAATTAGCATAATACGAGATAAAATGAAAATGGATTAATTCGTAAGAGTTTTCCTGATACGATTTCCTGTTTTTATGAAATACTCGTTACTATCGATGTTCAAACACCAATAATGTAACGCCAATAATAAAAGTCCTATGAATGCATGACAATTAGCAGACTAATCATCGTGACAAAACGCGGACAGATAGGTGCAGTTTAATTAAGATGTAAAACGTGTCCACGGTTTTCGATCTAACAAGGAAAGTTCAACGTACGCGTATCCTACGCTGACAGTAACGTCCGTACAGCATAATCTTTGCTGTCCTCTCATCCTTTGTTAAGTAAATGAGATTTCTTTGTTTGATTCCTTCCGTTGTTAAATAAATGAGAAAATGTTTAAAGACAAGACGCAGTGTAAATTACCTACGTGCTTATGTGAACTCACAGAGTAGAAAGCAATTTATTTAAAGTTAGAAGTCATGTAAAAAATGTTATCAATGCATATATTAAAACATGCGTAATATCCTATTTTTAACTTTTTTATCGAGTATGTAAAAACTGTTATCGGCTTGACTATTAAAAGAAACGCGTAAATTAAATCTCAAACTAATTTTTAATCTTTTTGTCGTATTCGCGTTAAGATTCAAATTAATGGTTTTCCTGACTGCCTAATAGATTTATAAAAGACGTTTTAATTAATTTATGAAACTTTGTAAGATTGTCAGTGTCACGGAAACAAACGAGAAAGAGTGTAATTATTTATTCCACGGGAACGGAGCATGGACAAAAGACAATGGGAAAGGGTTTCCGTATTATTCAGAGCATGCGTACGGGTTTCATGAAAACCCACAAGCCTGACTAACATATTCTAGTACGAGCCATTTAAATCCTCACAGCTATTCTGTTTTCTTCATCGAGTGGAACCTATTCGTACGTTTTCAATGGTCGCGCTTTGGAAAACGCGATTGAGAATTCGAAAACACGAATTCCACTTTGGTTTCGGCAGAGTTTATCGGAATTAAAAGTTACATCGATGGGACTGACGTTGATTGTTATTCGTTTTCTACTTGGCACAAAAATAGCAGAAGTACACTTATACTTAAGAACAGTATGTACATTTTTGTTTAATATGATAGCAACATAAACATAAAAACCACACCGGTTTTGAGAAGTCAATTGAACATAACTGATTAACGTCAATCGAATGATTTATGACGATAAATTCCTTGTTCTCATGGGCATCGATCGTAATAATAATGGACTAATGATAAACGAGCGGTAGGGTCACTCTTCTTATTATTGCGTTTGCGAATGAAACGACGAGCATCACTCCTTGGACTTTGTGTGCAATTTTTTCTTATATACGTTTCTTTCGTTACACTTGCCGTACAACTTTATCATTTTAACGAGTTGGTAATTGCATGTGTTTCCAATGAATTTCAATTCCATCCTCACTATCCTCAGCGTAGGATATAATACGCATCAAGGTTCCGTCGGCGTGAAACATGCGTAAGCGACCAGCAAAATCGTGCGTACTGGACGCTTGTTCGTTGTGTTGCAGCGTCGCGTCGTTAAGAATCTAAGGAGAGCTCGGTGAAGCCGCTTCAACGTCAGTCTTCTATCGCAATCAGTCGCGCGCTGAGCTTTCGATTGGTCCCACGCAATCGCGTTCTCTCGTTTTCAATCGGTGGCGCCTTTTCGAGAAAACCACCGCCTGGTTTCGTGTACGAAATCTTCCTTCTTCAACGTGCATTTTTTAATCTCGGACGTTGTTTATTAAAGTCTAATCGCTCCCAGTAAACCCATCGATCAACTTCCAGTCGCGTGTAGTTAATGATGTCATTCGAGTCGGATCGGTTTTAGTGCATCGATGCATCGCTGACGGCCACTCGATGTGATAATTTCTGTGACCTTGCTCGGCCCCGTGATCTCGTCCCATAAAATTATACAGAATCATCGATTTCTCGTTTCCACTCTTTATCTTTTAATGATTCGTTTGGAAAGCGTCCTTGTAAACTCGTTTGAGATCATCTGACAGTGGTAAGTTGTCCGAAGTACGAAACAAGCGTGAACAGTAATTATGACTCGAGCGAAACGGGCATAAATTCTTAGAACGAGAGATCCAACCATGTCCGTAAAATTGGAGCTGCAGACGAGCCGGAGCAACAATGGGACTCACGAGAGTAAGACGGTATCGTTATCGCATCTCAAAACGATGGGTTCACCTGTTGACATCGAATTCAATGATCTGACCTATTCGATACCGACCAGTAGAAAAGGTACGATTAACTATAAAATTCGGAGTCTTTTTTATTCCATAATTTAATTATTAAATAGACGAAGTATCATCTTCAATGTACCAGAATAGTTCGTTATTGAGTATTGTAATTCATTAGTTTCATCGATCGTCATCATAATCATTTAAATTTATAATAGTGGATAATGAGACATAAGGATATTTCTCACTATAATAATCGAATGCATAACAAAACATTTTCTTAGACGGTTATTGGAATTGGTCATGTCCAATTAGATGAAACATTACTATGCTAATTTAGAAGGCATGTATGACTGAACGAGAAAAGAATAGCTATTAGAATCGAAGAATTTAATACATAAGCAGTTATTATCTTAACTACAACATGGGAATTTTTAATGATATTTAAGTATAAGCGAGATGACTCGTACGGATAAAAGAACGTTTGCTGCTGGACATCGCGTATTTCGTCTGTTAAATTATCTCTTTTTGATAAATGATCTCTAAAATTAGTTGCTCAAAGTCACTGCCACAAAAAACGCGCTTAACTTATACGCTAATTTAAATGTACGCAAGAAGCAACTATTATTAATCACTCTTATGAGAACGATTTGTTTCGCAGTGTCACAATTTGTGTACCGAACGGTTCAATTCCACTACATAAAATGTCTTTGGATAACAAAGTTATCATTCATACAAGAATAACGAAATCATGTTTTAATTATTATATCACAATTTGTGTTAATAAAAATTGCATAGCAAGTACATAAAACTGCAGAACAGGCGTGTGACTAATACGAATTTATCTGTAAAAAATTAATTTATAATTCTTCGTAAGCAATTGGAAATTAATTTCCTCAAGTAGTTTATAACTGCAAGGCTATGCTGACATGCATATTAATGTTAGGCTGTAAAAAATACGTTTGACGTAAGTATTAAATAATAAAATTCTTTGTACATCATTCAACAAAGTTTTATGCAAAACGTTGAGATTCATTTACGCCATTCTCTAGAATAACATAAACTATGAATACGAATCAATTAACGTGTCATCGCGTAACTTTTTGAACGTAAAATTATTCAACAGATATACGATTTAATTGTCAGATACGCGATATTCTTGATTGATCGTTAATAATACAATTCTTTAAAGTAAACGAGAATCCCTCGTAGGATTGATTATTATCACCATGACGCAACACGAATAATAACAATGATTAAACAGAGGCGCGTGGCCGAATAAAAAAGCGGTTTTATGTAATAGATTTAAAGTTCTGCGTTCTCTGTTCGATATAGAATATCCACGGTTAGAATAAGAAATGAGTATCACCTGGTTTGACTCGAGGTGAACCGATCGAATTGACATCCGGTACAATACTACATCAACGATCTCATTACCATAAATTACCATATGAAAGGTGTAAAATTATACGAAAGTCTCATCGTATCAGAAAGTGAAAGAATTAATAATTGAACTGAGAACATATTCATAATCGAATTAATTCAAACGTTTCCTGTCCGTCACAGGTTCGAAGATACTATTGAACAGTGTCAGCGGGCAGTTCAAATCTGGAGAATTGACCGGGATACTGGGCCCTTCAGGAGCCGGGAAATCGACGTTGTTAAATATCCTCGCGGGATACAAGTAATCTAGCAGCATTTTAAATTAGATCGCACTTTGCCCGGACTCGTTTACGCAGAGACAAACGAGGATCAGATAGATTATGTAAACTAGGTTTATATTTCACTCCGTTATCGAGAGTCTGAACTTATGCTCATGAAAATTGAACTTGTTCGTTGAAAAACGTGAGTCGTCAAAGATCACTGACCTCGCGACCCACGATCACGGCGAAGAAGCAGTAGTTGTATCTAGCTCGAAGCTAACACGAATCCTGACATCGTCTCGATCGATAACCTACGGCCCAGGTGTTTCCGAGCACGGCTTGCCATTGAAATTGTACAATTCTTATGGTTTCGTTATGCAAATTTATTTTCAGAATCATCGGCAATCTGGCGGGACACATAAGCGTCAATGGAAGGCCGCGGGACGTGGAATATTTCAAGAAAATGTCATGTTACATTATGCAAGAAGATCTTCTTCAACCGTGGCTCACAGTTTACGAGGCGATGCACTTTGCCGTGGACCTGAAGCTGGGTCACATATCGCGGACAGCAAAACTGACCGTCGTAAGCGTTTCTATTCGACTCTGTACAATAGATTTTATCGAAATTTTCGTGAGCAATTGTACGCATGAATTCTTGAACCGTTCATTGAGAAAAACATGTCAAGGGGTAAAGCTCTACTAAAGATGAGAGAAAGCTGGTCGATTAAAAATGCATTCGTCGTGCAGCGACCGACGTTGAAACATGTTCTCGGAAGGGTACGAACAGTCGAACTGCATCGCGCGTCAGCTCTTTGTATTCTCGTCGCGTGTTTTACGATGGGTACTTATTGAAACGGGATACACGTCCGTTTCGAAGTACACAGTAGTATGTGCACATTTTCAAGAATTCGTTCAGAATCATTGAACAAATCGTACATAAATCGTACGAGAATGTTGAATGAAAATTGAATTAAAAGAAATACTTCTCGGTACAATTATTTAATTATCTAACTTTTGTTTAATCAATAAAGATAGAAGAAATATTGGATGTCCTACGATTGAACCGCGCGAGGGATACGACCTCCGAACACCTTTCGGGTGGCGAGAGAAAAAGGCTTTCCATTGCCTTAGAACTCGTGAACAACCCGCCGGTAATATTCCTAGACGAACCGACTACGTGAGTAATTCGTTTCAAAAGAAAATTAAATAAATCTCTAAAGGCTAATAATATTTTAGAGGATTAGATGAGATATCGGCAGCGCAGTGCACGGAACTCTTGAAATATCTAGCGCGATTAGGAAGAACGGTAATCTGTTCCCTGCACACGCCTAGCGCGAGCATCTTCGCGAAATTCGATCACGTCTACGTGATAGCGGATGGTCAGTGTGTCTATAGAAGCACAGTAGATAATCTGGTGCCGTTCGTTCGACAAATTGGCATCGAGTGCCCGCAATATCACAATCCTGCCGATTTCGGTGAGTGGAAGATAATTTTGGTGAAACGGGAACCGCGGAATACGTGAACCGTGATTACAGTGATAGACGTAGCCGCGGGCGAATATGGGATAGAATGGAGGAATCGAATGATGAACGCTGTAAACAAAGAATTTCCTATCGTTCCTATTCCTCCGCCGAAAAGCCACGAGTCACAGTTTGGAAATAAGATAAGAAAAGTGTCCTGGCTCGATCAGTTCCTCGTCTTATCGAGGAGGATGATGTTACAAACATATAGGAATAAGGTAAGCGCGAATTATTTCGTGATTGTACACAATTGATCATCGAGATAACGATGTACATCTTTTACAGAATTACATGTACTTAAAGATAAGCTTACATATATTCCTCGGTTTCATCATCGGCGGTCTGTTTTTGAACGTCGGTAATGACGGATCGAAAAGTTTATTCAACTTCGGTTTTTGTTTCGCGTGCTTGATCATCCTGCTCTACGTGCCCATGTGCCCGGTATTAATGAACTGTAAGATGACAACAATTTACTCGAGGAAGGTCGACGATAATTAGAAATATCTATTTCTTTGATGAAAAGTAATTAAAGTCGATGAATGGTTAATTAAGTAATCATCGATCCAATTAGCTTTTTGCATGAAAATAACTGAACTTCTAGATACATCCTCGATTATCCTCAATACAATTTTCTATCCCATTATAGATCCATCAATTTAATCTATTATTAATCTTTTAACTGTTTAATCTGTTATTAAATTACAGTTCCTTCGGAAGTACAACTAATTAAACGAGAATATTTCAATATGTGGTACGACTTGAGTCCTTATTACTTTGCTTTCACGACGGTGAACATACCGGTACAGGTCAGGTATCAGTTCGTTTAAAAACTAACGTTCTACCCGTTTCGTGTGTAATGATGTTGATTAAATTTTTATAGATATCAATATCATCGATCTATCTGTCGATGGTTTACGTGTTCACGGATCAACCTCTGGAGCTGTTTAGATGCGCTATGTTTTTCAGCACTTGTTTCGTATGCGTTTTCATAGCAGAAAGCATGGGACTGGCCATAGCCAGCACATTGAATATTGTGGTACGTCTCACGTTAACGTATTGGTTTGCAAAATTAGATTTATGTAACCGTTCTATATATCGGTTGAACGTTGCAATATGCACTGTCGGTTTTTGATACATCTTTTATATTTTCTGCATGATCTCGACGAACGTTATCGCGCGGACCTTATAACAGAGATACTACATTTATTTTTCAAAGAATGGTACATTCGTCGGACCTGCTCTATCTGTTCCACTGATGCTGGTCGCTATACAAGGATTAGGCGAAGGAACGGAAACTTTGCCTATCTATCGCCGACTGATAATGTATCTGAGTTACATCCGATACGGTTTGGAAGGTCTGGTGACGGCCTTGTACGGTTATAACAGAGAAAAACTGAACTGTCCGGCTAGTGAAATATTCTGCGAGTTCGGCGCGCCTCGACAGATCCTACACTCGATGCGTAAGCGAATGGAATTAAATTCGATCCGTAATGCTCGTCTAGACTATACAAAATAATCTGTTTCAATTCTTATTTTAGAAATGGAGCATGTGGTCTTCTGGGTCGACTTCGTTGCGCTGATAATTATTCTTATTGTTTTAAGAATCATCACGTTTTACTTATTGAGGCAGCGGCTTAAACCGAACAAGACGTTCCAAACGATTCGCTTAGTCGGGAGTCTGATAAAGAGACATTTTAACATGGATAGTTGAAACCAGCTCAATTTAAAACAATGATATGCGGAATCTTGTCTCCCAAGGAAGTCAATCTCTCACTTTTTCTTCCGAGTGTGTTACGAAATCAAATTACTTGTCGTTTAACAGCAGAATCTCATCTATCTCTTGTACATTACGAAATAATAGTTTATAAAATTATTATCAGAAATTAGTGAATAAACTATCTTAAGAACAAAAATCTTGGCATTTTTATTTCATGTTCCTTGATCGAATGACCAATTCCAGGGTGAATACTTGAGATCGGGGTCATCCCCTCTTAAATCCCGAATGATTCATTAATTCTGAAAGGGCAAAACCACATATTCAGGGTCGCCCCCACTCAAGTCAACGATTCGATCCAATTACTATTGTGATACCAGACTGGTAGTACTATGCAGACTTACATACGTTTACACACGTCGGGTTGCATACAATAAGGCTATCCGGAGCGCAGATTGATCGATGTTTGATATAAATTGTCGAAAAAAGTAAGAATGCACAAATACAATTAATTTCATTGACTCAAGTTTTTATAACAGCTGCGTTTATCCAGCAAGAACGAGCGATGTTGACGAATGCGACCAGTTCATAAGAATTACACAACAGATGCGCAACAGATGTCAAAGCACTGAAGCGTAAAACTTGGCATAGTGAAAAGTGTTCTAATGAGACGATAATATTCAAAAGGCTACAATTTAGAAATATAAAAAGTAAGAATTTGTTCCACGTATGTAAGCAATGAATGAAACGACATTGACAGTAAATAAGAAATACTAAATAGAGATAGTATAGAAAGACGAAAGAGAAAAATTACAATTGCAACTGCGCGTGGTCTCTTCCGCGTGATTCACATTATTACACAACGCAAGAGAAATCAACGCAAAACTGTGTGCTTATTATATTCTACCTTTATCGATACACGTTTGCCGAAGATAGTGATTGATGGCATTGATACTGATAAGAACGAATCTTACGTACCAAGGACCGTTGGGAAGCGGTAAACCAGCAGGTAGCTGACCGAGCATCTGCTGTGTGAAAGGTAGAAATAGTGGGGTGAGAGATTCATTAAAAGCTTGCTCAGCAGAGAACACAGTCAACTCCGACAGTTCCACTACTGTATGCATAGCTATTACTGTTCAGAAGGAAGTTTAATTTTTCAATCATGTCTAACTCAGGAATAATTTTCTACATTTTATCGTTATTTCTTATCGCCAGTGTAAATGGGTGAGTACACTATTTCTTTATACGTAGAGTTGACCACGGTCAGGAGAACGCTTTGTTCAGAAGTAAATAATAATTGTACATTGATTGCAGTCGAGCAACGGGATCTCTCGATTTCGACGTTTTAATTTTCACCCAACATTGGCCGCAAACTGTCTGTTATACATGGCAAGAAAGTTCGGAATCGCATGTTTGTCACTTACCGAAAGATCGGGACGAGTGGACGATCCACGGTCTCTGGCCTTCTCAGTACCACAAGTTGGGGCCTCAGTTTTGTAACAAGTCGATGCCATTCGACTTGACTGCTTTGAAACCACTGGAGGAACAGTTAAAGGAAAAATGGATAGACATAGAATTCGGGACAACGTCTTCCTCACTTTGGGAGCACGAATGGGACAAACACGGCACTTGTTCGTTAGTGCTACCCCCATTAGACAGCGAAGTGAAGTATTTCGAAACGACACTCCAATTATTGGAAACGTACGATATGAAACACGTATTAGCAAAAGGCGGTATATTACCTGGTCAAAAGTATCCAGCGCAGAAGATTCTTAAGGCCGTCGAACGGGTATTAGGCAAACGTGGCACTTTGCAATGCAGAAAGAACAAGGTAAGTGAGAACACATTTGTCTCGACGTACGCGCGCGGGATAATGATCATATTTAAAACTGAAGTTGTCGTTCTAGAACACCGGAGAATCGTATATGTTCGAGTTGCGAATATGTTTCGATAAAACGTTGCAACTAGTCGATTGTGACGGAGTGTATGGGTATCCAACTAATTGTGACAACTCTGTACTTGTCACATACCCAGACGAAGTGCCGCATATGTATAATGTAGTACAAGTATAATAATTATGGCATAATAATTGTAAATAATCGACATGAACGATGGAAATTCAGTTATAGACAATTAAAAAACGAATCATGTATTAATTAAAATTTATAGACAATTAAAAAACGAATCATGTATTAATTAAAGTTTGAATGAAACTCGCGTGAAAGCAATCACACTGTACATATATATATGTATATATATCGTAAATTAAGAAAAAAAAATCGAAATAAATTTTCCAGTACTTTGAAACATGTATTTCGTCCTTTTATCCGTGTTAATTACAGTTGGAGAATGTTTAATTATAAAGAAATGTTTTTTTTCGTAAACAACTTATAAAATATTGTACAATGGCATATTATAGATGTATCACTGATTGTGCTGCGAGTATTATTTCTTCTGAACAATCAGAACCGCAGACGGTACTAGGCCTGTAAATACAATCGCAATAATCAAACGATTGAACTTTGTACTTTTCCGATTAGTAAGAAGCATTGATAGACACGCCGCTCCATATCACAATAGCTGATTCAGAGTATTTACGAACAAAAGAGACGGAACAATATGAAACGACGATCAGTAACGGCGTACCTAGAGCATTTAACGGAGCCTCGTAATCTTCGTCCGTGAAGATTCTCTTCGGAAAGGTTGTCATTAGATTAAATGGTCCTGGCTCGTCTGTCCTGTTAACTTCTACAAACACCCGCACGGCAGACAATCGTTCTTTACTACCAAAGTTTTGTGTTAACGCTTGTCCATTGGTAAGCCTAATCTAAAATATCGAACAGCAGTTAGATTTCATTCGGATGTAAGGGGCGCGATAAATGTAAGTATGATTAATTACTTGTAACTTTGTATCGTTATATTCCTTTCTCTGGGAAGGAGTAGAAGACGAAGGTGTAGGAGGCAGCGGAGTAGGTTCAATTGGTTTGTCGGCATTAGCCTTAGCACGTCTGGCAGCCCTATCAGCTTCAATTTGTTCTTTAACCCTCTGCCGCGCTAATCTCTCCTCCTCTTTCTCGCGTTTCCTTTCCTCCAGGACTTTTTTCATTTCTAACTCCTCCAATCTGAAATCAAAATGTACCGAGTTTATCTATATGAAGAAAGATAATTTATTACTTAAACTCACTTCCTTTTAGCTTGAGCCATTTCTTTCCCTGATTTTATTCTATTCTTTTCCCTTTCCTGGGCATCTTTCTTTTCCTCTTCTTCCCTCTGCATCTTCTTTTGTCTCAACTTTTCTGTCAATATTCGCAGTTGCTCTCTCTTCTCATCTTCCGAAAGAGGTTTCTTCTCCTCTGTACTCTCAGAGAATTTGTCGTGCCCAGATTTCGTGGCATGAAACTCGACTTCCAAATTAGATTTGAATAGTTTCCCACAGCTACAAACACGTTCAAACATGAATACGAGTGGAAGATTAGGTGTGTGCCTTGATCGTCCGATCTATATGAATTACTTACACATCGCATTTCATAGATTTAGCGACTTCTGTAGTGGACACTTGACCACCGGCATCAGCATTATCTTCTTGAGCCGGTGTTTGAACAGATTCTGGTGCAGTTTCGGCGATAATCGGTTCAGGCGACGGCTCCGCATCGTCTGAATGAGCCAAGAGCCTAGAATAAAAATGAACAGCGTCATCGGACGATAATGAAAATGAAGTCGCGGCCTCTCTCGTACCATTCCATTGCCGGGACGACTCCTTTATTCCCAGTGATCTCCAAAGCTGTTTCTCTGCAACGAAACACATACTTTCAAGTGTTAAAGGTTAAACAGGATTGTTCGGCGAACCGGTTGATACCCTTACGCTTTAGACTCGCTGAAACCCATATCGACCAGCATGCTAATATCGCTGGACGACATTTTATTCTCACGCTTCTAATACGCTCGAACGAACTTTATTTCACACCGGTCCAGCGGTTCGGCCAGTCAAACACTGATGAAAAACTTAACGTCACGTTCAACACCGACGCGCTACCTATACAAATTTCTGCAATACATTCACACACTTGCCTCGCCGGAAGTCGCAAGCTCGAGCCTTCCAGTTATCATAAATCATCATTAAAATTAAACATTTTTTCCAATGATGAAATTTTCTCGCGATGAGAAGGGGAGATGGGTACAGGACAGAGACAGAGAGTTATTTTAAAGTGAAGAGTAATGATGGTTTATTTTCACTCTAGATATAGTTTACAGTCAACAAAAACATTCAATACGCCGCTGGTCTTATTTTTTTCTCAAAATTCAAATTCGTAAAGGAACGGATACACATGATGTCAGTTAATTCTATGTAAATTCAAAACGTAAAACAGCCATTAAATAATAATGCAACAAAACATTTTAATTGAACAATATGAAGTTTGACAATAGCACAGTAGACTGCACTACTGTTTAAAATAAAGTCAAAATGTATGTTATTGGAATAGTGATTTGTAAGTTTTAGATATTTTCATACTTTTTCTTATAGGTGAAGAAACAAAGTTATAGTCCTAAAGTACTGTTTAAGTTAGAAAGGTTATTCTAAAAATTATTAATATTCCTGGGAAGCTTTGTCTCCCTTTCCGGATCCTCCAGTGCCGGTCTTCTTCGGCAGGAGCACAGCTTGAATGTTGGGCAGGACACCGCCTTGAGCAATGGTAACGCCTGAGAGCAGTTTGTTTAACTCTTCGTCATTACGGATGGCCAATTGCAAGTGACGTGGGATTATCCTGAAATTAAAATAAAACGAACGGCCTGTGTTTAATTCACAAAGGCACTATTATAGACACAATAGTCATAGAAACTGATTTTACTCATTTTTTCTACGGTGTATAAACGCAATTTATTTCTCGCGTACGTTCGAATTTACCCGAATTTCGATCGATTATTTTCCTGTTCGTGAAATTACGGAGAAATTCAAATGTTTCTCGGATCATCGTAAATAATGATAACGAAACGGAGGTTTAAAAGGGAGAGAGAGAGAAAGAGAGATAGGAAGAGAGATGGAGGGAGACAGAGAAAGGGCTTGTTTCACCAACCTCGTCTTCTTGTTATCTCTTGCGGCGTTCCCGGCTAACTCGAGAACTTCGGCAGCCAGATATTCCATAACGGCTGCCAAGTAGACTGGTGCACCAGCTCCGACTCGTTCCGCATAATTTCCTTTTCTCAAAAGACGATGGATTCTGCCGACCGGGAACTGTAGCCCTGCCCTACTGCTGCGGGTCTTCGCCTTTCCCTTGGTCTTTCCTGCAAGCAGAATCACGAATGGCTTTCACCGATCTGCAGCATCTCGCCGCGATTCAATAAACGCAATACTCACCACCCTTGCCACGTCCTGACATGTTTTAGAGCGAGTTATTGAAACTTTACTTGAACAGGAATAACGGATGATGCTTCGCCTCCGGATACCAAACAGAGAATGGATCCTCTGTGTGCTGGCCGACGACGGTTATGCCTGTGTAACGTCAGATATTTTGGCGGCGACAGTTAGGTCGGCGCTCGTTTGCGCGGGAACGACGATGTCTGCGTCGACGGTAGCATAAATCCCTAGGAAAATCCATGTTTCCCTTACGGCTTCTAGCCGCAACACGACCGCAATGCAATTTTGATATTGTTAATAATCAGCTTGCACGATTCTATTTATGCGTTTTTACGATCGGGGAAGATCCCGTATTTTTTATGAGAACAGAGCATGTCAGAGAGTTCATAAATTATGTCTACAACATGAATAATTCCTTATTTTACGAAGCATTGACTATTGTATCATGCTATATTGCCGGCTCATGAAAATTACTTAGCGATGAATGTTAATAGACATTTGGTAATTCTATTAGAAAAATACAATTATTAAGATTCATAATTCGATAGATTAAATGTCCTTTTTGTGGAATGGGAAAGTTTAAATAATTGTCCCGGTTGAACATGGTATCATCCCTTCCATTGAAATTTTAGAACTAATCGGTCGGTGTTAAGATAAAATAATACGAATGGGCTTTATAGGATTGAACAGCAATAAACATTTTAATTGATATCATCTTTATTAACATTAAATATTCAATGATTTAACAATGTAAAAAAATAAACGACTTTCCAAGTACAAACATGATATTACGTCTAATGATTAATGTACAGAGAAGATGTAACATCTTTTAGAAATGTTACATTTCGATCTAGAACTAATCCTATGAAACTAAGCTCGCAAATTATGGGCCTCTGGGATGTCTGGATCAATTTCAAAAATTGTGGATTTAGTGGTTGACAGTAGCTTCTGTGTATTAAAATTGCGGATCTTCGCTTCCTTTACAGCCAGTATCTGACCACTCTTTCCACAGAAAGTTGTTGCATAGGAATCCCATAACGACAATTTCACTATGGTATTGCTCTTATCAGTAAGCTGAATTTCTTTAACATTCATGTCACCGCTTCGTCCTCTCACTCGTTGAACCATCCCACAACTTTCTATGATAGCCAAAACGTCGACTACATCGTTATTCTGTTTTTCATTTAGATCGCTCAGTGATGTAAAATTAAATACGAGATTCGACGGTTGTTTTTCATTGCATAAAACGATTTGTGAATATCTGGCTAGCAAGATTTCATAGTTGTTCTTTATGAATTGCTTTGCTGGCTTTATGACAGCTTTGGAAAAGTAATACACTTTTCCAATTGTAATCACGTTGAAAAATGTATCGCACTCCTTGTCGAATGCTGTGCATCTAATTTCTCCGCTACCATCTTCAAGATCCATGTAGAACATTTGTCCACAGCCACGTGGATTATGCCATGTTTTGATAGGCGATTTGGCTATGACTTTGGCTTTTATTACCCAATTTTTGCAACATGAATTCAAAGCACTAATGGGAATCGTTGATATATTTGTGTCTGATGTGCTTGGCTGTGGGACTTGCAATGCAACCTCTTTCTTTGAATTAGAATCAATTGGGTCATCTAAATCATGAACTTTGCCTCCCACTTTACTGCCAGGAACTTTTATATCTAGATTCAGTATTATTACTCTTTTCCTTTTCTGAGTACATGTCACAGTATATTTCTTTATCTTACAAATAGAAAAGTCCGTCAGTACATTCTCTGTTATCAATGAGTTTAGTGGTGGAGACAATACAGCAGAGAAATATATGTGATCTCCATCAAATAGAACTAGCTTGTATTCCACATTCTCTTCCTCTTCCTTGCTGCTTGACTTCCTATACTTCTGTAGAATGAAATAAATAGGCATTCATGAAATCGAAGATTCAGTTTTTGTTAGCTTCAATTAAACAAAACTCATTTACCAGGACTTGTACTATCGGTTCATGGACGTAATTGCCGTCTACCATTTTTTCCAATGCTCCCTTAGTAAGCTTATACATTTTTCGGCGAAAATAATACTACTCACTGTTGCAAAAAAATGATCCTCATTTATTTCAAAGCTATTCAAAGTCAATATAACTCCTCGTCTACCGTCAGGACTCGTGCACGTGTCTCAACTGGAAAACGCTCGCTAATTCCCGCCAACAACACACTTTCAGCACCACGCTATATCCGCTTATATATTTTAAATGTTCTACAATTTTCTACAATATTTTTTAATGACGATTATAACTCAATGCGAAAGTATTTGATTCTTACCGCGTTCGTCAAATTCTGTCTACATATATACTACGTATGTAGTACGTACGTATGATTTGGTATGAGCTATAGAACGATTCGTGTCAACTGGTATAACACAAGTTCTTTCATACGCGTAATAAACTTTATACAATACCGTAGACCTGTATTTATAATCGGAAAATGAATAGAAGAGGCAAAAGGAGTTACGAAGGCGATGCTTCAACGAACGTCAGGGAAAAGAAGAAGTTGAACATTTGTAGCCAATTAACCTACGATGTTCTGAGAATTATATTTAAGTATTTAAATCCCAAAGAGTTATCAAATGCCTCATTAGTTTGCAGGTGCGAAGAACATTTTTTAGACTAAGTAGGAATTAGAAATTAACAAAAGTCTATATATATATTATTGTCTCTGGCTATTTGGATAAGTTCCATTAGAATACAATAAAATTTAACACTTTACATATCAGGACATGGCAAGAGGTAGCAAACGATGAGGAACGGTCTAGAGGCCCTGTTTGTATAGAAGGGAATTTATTGAGAGAAGAGGATGAGTTTATAAATGAAATTAGTGATAATTTATGGATCAAACCAAAGTTAGGATTATTTTTTAAATCAAGTGCAGGCTGTCGTATGAAAGCCCATTGCAAAGGTATTTCATTTAGTATCATTGTACTTCTATCTAATTTTTTTATTTCTTTTAATGATTGTGTCTTGGTTTTTGCAAGATTGCTACTGTAAATTTTTCCCAAGAGACTGTGACGTTGTAACACTGGGCACAAACAGTATAATCTTTGAGAACAAAGAAATAGAAGAAATTCACGAAGACAATGTGGCATGTACATTCCTACCTAAAATACCTAATGTATCAATTAAAGTAATTCCTGTTTTTAAGCACTCACATACGTCAGACGAACAATTAGTTGAACAACTAAGAGTGCTCGTCAACAGCTTTCATAATATTAAGTGTGCCCTATTATTCTGGAGTTATAGATGTAGACGTAGAATGAACAGATTTACGAGTCTGTTAACAGCGCGGTATGGCTTGAATTTTTTATTATCTGCTATTTAATAGCATATATGTCTCTATAACAACATGTCTATTTGTTTTAGTGAAGAAATCATGGTACCTATATGTGGAGGTATGGTTTTCGATGTACGTATATGTAACAGAAATATAAACAGATGTTTGGAATTTGCGAATTGCGTCGCAATTACTTTCACTGGACCAGTGAATGCATGGTCTGTGGTCATCCGCGAGGACACCAAGGAACAGGTCGAACAGGAACTAACATCGTTCAAAAATAGTATTTCCTTAAAGAGACATTCCTTGGCATTTATGTCCGCGTGTAATGGTCGCGGACGAGAACTCTATAACGAAGTCGATGTGGAATCGTCTATTTTCAAACGATTATTCCCAGAAGTGAGATTAGTAGGCGCTTTCATGAATGGAGAATTCGGAACAACTACGGTACCAAGCAGTACGTATCTTTTTGTAATTACGCGATCTAACGGACATCCTTATTGCGATTACGAAGTACTAAATTTAATATTTTTTTCAGAATTTGCTAACAGCAGTGGAAACCATTGGTACAAGCAGTTCACAACGGTTTTTTTGATACTCACATATGGTTGATGATGTTGGCTTGAATAAAATTCGGGGTTGAAGTTAAGAATTCTTTACGAAAATCACAACGTACATGTATATAATATATTTAAGAAAGACAATGGTTGTGAATTGAGAAGTATGTGTTGTAAAAAGACAGTGTATGATAATAAAATTTATGTTCGTAAAAAAAATTTCTTATTACTTGTCGGGACCTCTGATATGCAATCTTGTGATTTTCATTTAATCTGAAGAAACAGATGACTTCCTGGTTTAAACAAGTTGCAAACAGGTAATTAACGACGATACTATTTAATAACGTGTGTATGTTACCATTCCACGCGCGATACGAAAACACAGCACATCCGATAGATAATTGAGCAAAAACCTGCACCTCTTTGAATACGATTACAATGTTTTAAGGTATTGTCCAGGAACCACTTGACAGTATTTCCGCGCAAACGGTATCATAGCAAAGATAAAATAAACGAAACTGGGGCACGCTAGGGTTTGTCAGCGTTTCGTTTGATATTGTCAGGGTTTATAAGAAAGGTCTACCTCAGGGCACGCGCTATCCACTCGAAGCGAGTAATGAGATCTACATTTTTCATATTTTAAATCTCTTGCTTCTTGGAACAACAATGATTGCTTTTAATTTACTTAAATATTTTACCGTGCTCATAGTTTCATTCGATCTTTCGATCTGTTACGCGTGGAACAGTGGTTTGCGAGAAAAGTACGATGGATACGGCGAAGATTGGATTTTTATTCCCGATGGAAACGATCAACCACAAGTTGCGGTATTGAAACCTGCGGAAATAGACGAGCGAGGCATCCTAGACGAATCTCAAGTTTCTTACATCCTTTATACCAGGTATTTAAATGATTCGACGATATAGTCACGACAATCTACTCTGCCTCGTTTAATTCTATTTCAAGATCTGGCCCCGAAAAAGGTATCCAATTATATACGAATGATAGCAAAGGACTTTCTGCGTCTGGTTTTAATCCATCTACTCAAACGAAATTTATAACACATGGATGGAAATCAAGCGCGATGAGTACTGGCTTGGTAACAATGAAAGAAGGTATTGCAATTTTTATGGGATACTCTCATCGAAAGAGTGGCTTTCATAATTTGTTATCTATATAGAATATTTAAAACATTATGACTATAATGTGATTATGGTCGATTGGCAACCATTGGCCGCGAGTACGTTCTATCTTGGACCGATGCGTAACACGGGAAGAGTAGGAAAAGTAGCTGCTGAATTCATTGATTTCTTAGTCAAAGAGACTGGTACCAATACGGAAAATATTCATTTTCTAGGTAAGCTAATCGTTCAATATCTCATACTATACAACATAGTTTCCGAGCCTTCAATTATTTGTGATTATTTAACACAGGTCATTCTCTCGGAGCGCACGTTGCTGGCAACGCGGGACATTCGGTAACCACCGGTCGTTTAGGAAGAATAACCGGGCTAGATCCCGCTTTGCCTGGAATTCATTTACTTACATCGGACGATAGTCGATTAGATCCTACAGACGCGAAATTTGTCGACATCATTCATTCCTGCGGTGGAGTCTTAGGATATTTGCAACCATTAGGTAGCATAGATTTTTACCCAAATGCTGGAACAGCTGTACAACCCGGATGTTGTTGCATACCGGAGGTGATAGGTAATGTATCACTCATATGGGTTATTAATAAGGGAATGAATATACGAACATATGATTTTAAACAGAGGCGTGTAGCCACGGACGATCGTACATATACTTCACCGAGAGTATTGGTTCTAAAATCGGATTTATGGCCAGCAAATGTCAAACGTGGGATCAATTTATGCAAGGCAATTGCGATCATTCGCAAGTTGCATTGATGGGAGAACATGTTGATCAAACGGCCAGGGGCACCTACTTTCTTAGAACTAAGTCCGAAGCCCCGTACGCAGATTTACCGGAGATAACTGATAATTCGATTTAGAAAAGCGAAATTTGACTAAGTAACGAAATATATTTTTAATAAAATTAACTCCGTTCTATGGAAGACGTATGATGTAAAATATTCCATCTTAATAAATAGTAATTATATTATTTTACATTTCAAATACAACAAATTGTTTATGCGCCGTCAGTTTCCAAATACTTAATTTTAAACGTCGATATTTTATCTTACCTACAAAATACCTGTTGATTCGCTGTAACTAACAAATCGTCGACAACTTCAGGAATGGCTTCAGGATTTTTAAATCGGTTTGTACAATAGAGTGGTAACATATTTTTTACGGTAACGATGCGTCGCCGATAGTACCATCACGCTGTCCTTGATACTTAAGGCATATAGATGATTCAACATAACGTGATTTGGTTCTGGTAGGAGAGTTGGCTCACACTAAAATCGTTAGAGGATAGAGCATTAATAAAGGAGGTAATTTCTTCATACTCATCACATGTACTTACCGATAATGGAGTATCCTTATTAAGAATAACTTGTAACAAATGTGGTGGTAATATTGGTGGACCAGCTACTTTTTCCCATGGTTTATGGGGAGGAACCTCTTGACCATATTCTGTTTGAGCACTACTTATAATACCTTCGCTGTCTTTTGCAAGGGCTTGGAAAACTTCGAAATCTGACTTTCTTACAGATACTAAATTGTTCTTGGAACCCATACCATTATCAACAATTTTCTGCAACAGATACAATTCATATAAATTTTCTAATACTTCGATATCGTGTATAAGGTGAGTAAAGTTATTCCTTACTATATCTGGATCGTGCCTCCATTCGCCGTCGACAAAAAACTTGTACTGATGTTCACCTTCTGGCAAGTCAATAATTGTTACAAAATCACCATGACTTTTAACCATCGGCAATGTCTTCCATCCAGTAAAAGTCCCACTGATATAAACCTGTTTGCCACCACCTTCCCATTTAAAAACAGTTGGAAGTACTTTGCTGTCAGTCACTTTGGTTCCCTCGGACACTGTATTGGAACGTGGACGTTGAGAGCCAAAGTCTTCTCCGTCATGTTGAGCATTGGTCTATTAATAAAATTAATAAATAATCATGAGAACCATGGAGTTTCTAATGATTCATCGATGTTAAAAGCACCTTAGCATAGTAAGGCTCTTCTTCTTCGTTCGATGATTGGAAAACTAATTTTTGGCTTGGTTTCTTGTCAAAAACAAATGCCTGTCCTTCCTTTCCTGGCGAAGGTGGCGGGTATTCTTTCGTATGACGATGTTCTCTGCTTGTGGTGCTACTGTGGTGATGTCCAACTGGCTGATTACTGCCTGCGTTTCCCATTACGAGGCCGTGATTTCTGTCACAGCAGGAGTTGAAAGTTCACGATTCAACTTACAAATTAATTGCTAATGTAGTCAGTGATCTATCTCTACCTCTTACTCTCTTGTACCGTTTATTTTCGTTCAATTAAAACGACGAACAAACTTTGTATTAACGCTATTATCAGTTCTCGATTACTTCGTTCAACTATATTTTTAAGTCAAATATACGGTGCTTCAAAACTAGACATGACACGCGATAACAAATCAAAAAACAATACGACAAAAATAATGATTCTATCACATTCGACTAACAATGGCTGATTCAGCTGTTCAGCTGTCGAGTCAAGTTCCGTGTATCGACATTGGACAAGACTGTGTTAGCGTCGTGAGTGCAGTATTGTAAGATCTGAGGAATTTGGACCACAACGCCGTGCGTTGAGGAACAGTGAAACTCAGGTGTCACAGTGAATCGAGCGCAGCGTAATTTTGAATTACCGCGCGACTGTGTTAGTGTCGCGGAACGTCCAAGGTACGCCTTCTCTGCTTTTATTTTCTTTCTTTTTTATTATCGGTATGGGGGTTATTAAAATATTACAACCTAAATTGTATCCATATTTTATCTGTGATAATAGATCAAAATGATGTTGACATAGATTCGTCGTGTCTGCATCTGTGAGCCAAAACGATTTATACGAATGAATCCTAACTAAAGTTCGAATTAAAATCATAAGTGAAGGGTCGCTATCTTGCAGTTTATCTGAGAGACTTTGAATTTTTGTGTCATTTCATTCGACACGAAACAATATTCTTCGATTTCAAGTTCATGTTCAGGATTGTAGGTTCGTACGTCGTGTCAGCTGATTGGCGCTGAGCTCGGTACGAAGTGTCAGACATGGCGAGCAGGTGGTGCTCGCGTGCCATCGCATTCGTAATGGCGTGCGACGGGTAGGAAAAAGGTGATACAACGCGCACGAGTGATCGAGTTTTCGTCTGTTTTGAAAACGGGGAAGCGTGGGTCGGTGCGTGCGGTGTCGTGATAGTATCGCGATAATGACGACACCATCGATCGTCTTGCCGTCGTATCAACGGTTCGTAAACGGTATGCCGGTGCCCCTGTTCTCGAGACGGTCGTTCCGTCCGCGCGAGAAGTATCTGATCTTGTTGGTGTTTTTGACGTTCTGTGTCGTGTGTTTCGGTGCGTTTTTTTTCTTGCCGGACTTCCGCGGGGGCACGGGAGGCGTCGCGGTGAACAGTGTCTACCGTGTGTATCAGCGTATGCAAAAAGCGGGACCGGACCTGCTGATACCGGCACCACCTCGCATGCAGCTGGGCCTGAAGGGGTCCATGGGTCATCCGAATGCTGTGCCATTCGGACACGAGGGCATTGATCATCAGGACGTTCATCTCATCGAGGACAAGCAAAAGCTGCAGGTCCGCGCGTGGTGTCGGATTCCGACGTCGTCTTTAGATTTTCGATTAGCGCCACGACTCTCGATTTCCTAGCCTCGGCTCGTACCGTGTCACTTTCTTTCTGTTACGGACAACACCAACCGGTGTTACTTTCTCTTTGACATTGATTCGACAATCGTCGTCACACAAGGCCGACCTTGTTTTCTCCGTACTGTTCCATGCGCCGTGTTCAGGTGTTACACGCTTTCGCGATCCGTTTGTTTACGTGCTGCCATCGTGACGTTCGCGGGCTCACGTGTGCAAGCGGAACAGAATCTCACACGACCCTCTATTTGACAGATTCTCATTTCATATCTCACTGTCAGTTCGTTTTCTTCTCATGCTTAATCGGTGCCAGCTAGTCGAATATCATATTCATCGTTTCCATTTGCGTCATATAAGAATTGCGTATACTCGAAACGCATGAAACGTTCTGCCTACGTTTCGCGTGGTCGGAATATTTATAGCCAGTGGAATCTGAAAGCGATCGCGTTCCATCGTGTGTGTCCCGTGTTTTCACCAGTAGAGAGTAACAGGAATTCTGACCTTGTTTACTATATCGCGTATGCGAATTAGAAACTCGATAAGCATCGTGAAATGTGACTGTGCAAAACCAGTCGACCGTGATTCTATTATTTTATTTTTTCGGTTCGTCTGCGTCTCGTCAATCGTAATAAATTCGCCCTAAAGTCTCAAAGCACAATTTCCGACACATCGACCCTCATCGAACACACGCCGCCTCGTGCACGTGTACAGGGAGTCGTGAGAAAGTAACGACTGCGTGCTTCGAACTGATTTATATTGTAATATGAAATAAACGTTTGTCCATTGCGTGTTTACGAGTCGAATTAGTGTTAGATTTGACGGTACTTTCGTCAGGCAATACGAATGTAATCTAGCATTTGTTCGAGAGTTTAACAGGTTTACTGTGTCGTGCACGTTTGGATTTGAATGTGGTCGCAGTGATTAGAATTGTTACTAAGCGATAAGTAGTATTTAAACTCACGACGAAGCCACATTCGTTATCGAGTCTTTTATTACCAGCAAAAAGGTTTACGTAGCCAATTATTATATCATTGGGTGTTGAATTATGTCTTTCGATTAGTTATGGTTGTAAACTTCTCATTGATCTGTGATTCACTCGGTCTCATTAATGCACGATTGCGATGGAACACGATTTATATGTATATAATGCGGTCCACGCTTGTACGCGTGAGTTCACGTGGGCAATCAGTCACGATAGAGCGAGCTAATTGAATTAGATGTAGGCCAGTTGATAACGAATTGAAGAGTTGCAACGGTACCATGATATCATTACGCTTACACGACATTAGCATCTATCCACTTCGCTTGTAACGTTTGTAGCTTTCATCTTCGCCAGATAACTCGTATTGTAAAGGTACCCGCTTGGGTATACGCTGTTAAGGTCTTTTCTACGTAATATCATTCGTTTCGTAACAGTTCTCATGGTTTGGAAATTCAGTGGAATTACGTAAACGAGTCGCGTTGGCGTGTGACGAATGAATGAAAATGATCAAACACAACCTTTTCGTTATAAGCAAATAAAAGGTAAATCATCTGACGGTCCTGCTGCGATAATAAATTGTTCTGTTCGATAATTTGTACAATCTGCAGATGTCTTATCGTACGAGATATCGAAATCTGATAGAATAATTTATGTTGTAATAGTACGAAGAGTGTATTGTGTACACGTGTTCTTCGGATGAAGTGAGGGAATATTTATTTATAGAATTAAAAGAAGCTATTAGCGGTTAAGATGGAGATTAGAGATAAGATGTTCGTAAGTTTAAGCGATTATTGTATTGGACGATATTTGAAGAGAAACTTTAGCAACTAATCGATCACCAATTGTGATTGCCGTGGGATATGAAATCCTTTGTTCAAAGTCATTAATTGAATCGTAATAAGAGGAATATGGTATTTAGAACGAAATGAGAATAGGCACTTGATTATTTATTATTTCATAACGTAGGAAGTAAGACAAATCGTTTCCAAATCAGCTGAGTCAATTTAGGACTTATGAGCGTGGCTAAGCAGTCGAGAGCGTTTTCCGAGCGGAAGAAGCGCGTTTATTCGAATAAATATGCGATCCGAGATCTCTCGAGCGAAATTTGGTACGCTCGAAACCGGAAATAGGATGGCAAAATGGGTATCTGATTGAGTAAGATGATGCGGCACGTTAATATATTGTATTGTAAACGGCTGGGAGGATGAGTGGAAATCGTTGGCTGAATAAATGGGAACGTTTCACGATCAGAAGACACTGTGTCGCATGTTACTGACCTCTCCAGCGTAAGCATCCCGTACCCCTAACTTCGATTCTGTTTTCTGACATCGAATTATTTCGGACCGAACGTTCGTCTATTGTTTTATAATCTTTTCGTACAGTACATCAGATACCCATTTCGTTTCCAATTAATAATACCAAAAAAGTTTTGCATGTTTTCATTTGAAAGAGAAGAAAAATAATATAGAACAAGAGATCATTTGATAAAATATAATTATTTCAAGTATCGAATCGATTATTCTCTCAATGAGTTTGCAAGAACGCGAGACAAGTCCTTAAACGCGTGATTAAACGGAATCCCGTCGGATGAGAAAAATGTTTAGACGGGACATCATCTGGTTCACAGGCGAAAATCGACGAGGAGTATCAACAACAGAAGACGCTGGAAAAGCCGGAATTAAACGTTGATTTGCAAGTGCGTGTGAGTAGTTCGCCATCGATGGTGCTATACCGGAAGAGCGACGTTTTCGAGACTGTACCCCCGGCGCCCGCGGATAAACTTCCTTCGACCGTTGGCGGAGAGGACAAGGACCCCGTCGCCAGGGAGCGGAGGGACAAGGTGAAAGAGGTGAGTACACGCACCTTTACCATTCATACGTGCATGCATGAAAGGAATTACCGTCGATGATATCAGCGAAAAAGCGAAACTGCGTTCTCACCTTTTAATTAGTAGAAATTATTAGTAACTCTTCCTTGTCGTAGAGGAGAAAACTAAGATTCGCGCGTTGTAGCCACGCGTGTTTTCATATCGAATCTTGTGCGTACTATACGATTGATAAACGCGAGATAAGCGTCATTTTCTTCAAAGAAGTTTAATAGATACGTATTATCAGTGAGTGCACTTGAGCGATAATTGTATCCATATACCAGGTTCATTGCTTGCGTAAGCCGGGTTCGAACGTTATCTGTTTGTCACTGGCAAATCTTAGCAGTATCAAATATTTTATTTTTTTTTTTCAAACGTCAAGTAAAAATTTCTATCTATAATCGAACAGCTTTTGATAACACGTTACACTTGCAGTGAGTAAGAATCATTATTGCACGATATTTATATATAGTTGTTTCTAATGTATTTTTCAACTCTCACGGAAACGAGCGATTGTTTTTGGTTGCTTGTACGGTAACCCGGCTCCCTCGAATAGGAATATCTCGCGCGTGGGTTTGCTTTCCATTTTCCAACTAAATTTCAACAGTTTCCGATTTCACGATGGCTCTATCCCGCTGTTGCGTCGCTTACATTTGCGTATAAATGAGAACACAGTATGTATATTCTCATGGATATTCCGATTAATGGCATTTCCCGTGGCCGAACAAACGGAACCGTGCGCGCTGGTAAATCAGCGCGAATAACTCGGCCTCCGCTCTTCACCCCCACCTGGGCCGGCCACGTAATTTTGATTCGGCTTCTACAAATAAAAATAAAATCGCTGGATAAATCGCCAAATAAAATTAGCACATTCGTCCCGAGTGCGAGGAAGCGTTCAACACTCGAAATGAACATTTACTGTCCATATATTTCGACGAAACAAGGCTGCGGAAAGAGATTTATTCTGTCCCTTCGATTGCGCCCCCGTTTTTATTAAAAAGTTCGGCATTTTTGACGCTTTTTAG